AATTGTAGGAGAGCCCCCCCCCCATCCCCTCCCCCAGTCATGCGCGGGTTAAGGTGGCCGTCCACTGGTTAGGAGGCGCGTATTCAGCGCGCAATCGCTCAACACCTAGAGCGCGCTGAAAGGTTAAACCTTCCAGGCGGTGGGGGGGGGGCATTTTTGGCCCCCATGTAGTTTTTTCGATATATCTCGAGAACCGCTGCGCCGATCGTCACCAAACTTTCAGTACCCTCCCGGGAGTAGCTAGCGCACATGGTGACCATTTGTTTTTCCAAAGACTATGAGAGGTTGGCCGCTAATGACGTCAGAATGACGTCATTTCTGCCATTTTCGACCAAAAAAAAGGTTTCGCTGGAAGAGCTGTCAGGCCTACAGCTTTAGAGATACAGAAAAAATGTTTCAGACATAAAAGATGTGGAATCAAGAGGGCTACAAAACTGTTATTTCGGTTTTTCGATTTTTTTTGGATTTTGACCCCCAAAAATAAAAATAGATTTTTTGAGTATAATAGCCGAAAAATAAAAAAATGAATTTCGAAAACCGGAATATATGTGATAGTCCCTACCGCCTTTTATCTACATACCAAATTTCAAATCGATACCTCTTTTTTGGCCAAGTTAAAACTAGCGAAAAAACTGTTCAAAATTGATAACGTCAAATTTTCAAACTCAATTTTTAGCAATTCTAGACCTCGTAGCGCAAAACAAAGACCACCATTAGACTCCCCGTGACGAGCTGCATCGAATCAATACCCATTTTATGCAAAATATCAACTTTGAAATTTGACCTTTTTTGACCTGACCTTGACCTGACCTCCACCAGAAAGTGACCTAAACCGTACCTGATGGTCTTATAACCAACATTATTGAGTTGGAAATGAAAAACTGGCCATAAAACATGCATCGCACAACCTTAGTTAAGTTGGGTTCATGTGGTGACCCTTGGTGACCTTTGGTGACCTGACCTGTGACCTGACCTGGTATGACCAGTGACCTCTAATAGCAACATATGTACTACTATGGACGTCAAACCCCTTGAGACCCTACTTTTTTGCGATAATTTTTAAATGCGTCAACTCTTGTTGACAATATTCTGGCAATGTGTGTTTCAGAACCTGCCGAAACTTTTATTACTAAGATATTTTGACGCCAAACGATTATGAAAGGCACTTCTCATTCACTCGTAATGTTAAATTTCACGGAACGAATCTGCTGTTTGGGTAGAGGCTACGCGCTCGTGGGGCGGAGCCACGTAATGACGTCAGCGCTAAACTCCGCCCTACCCCTCCGGCGCTCCTAGCCCGGCGACCGGTCACTCGCGTCTCGCGCTCCATTCAGGCTTGATGGTGGGCGGTAGCTGGTAGTGGTAGCGGGCGCTGGTAGATGACATTAAGAGCAGATGGCGCTGGTGGCGGGGCTCGAGTGTGGCCGAGCGCAAGCCTCTGCCCGGGCCTGAATTGACCTTAGCATTACGAGTGAATGAGAAGTAGGGGAGAGTGGGGTAAGATGCCCAGGGTGGGAAAGACGCCCCACCCCCTCTAGCGGCGAAACAAAGAATCGGACCTGGAAATTAATGTTCTTAGCGTAAAGCGGAAGCCTGCCTTGTTAACTGCACAAAAAATCGCGAAGCTCAGTTGGGCAACGGCAGGCTGGTGATTGCATGTTTTTTATTTGCTGCTTTCAAAAAATATTTTGGTGTCAGAACATTGTAAATATCAAAGAAGGTAAATAATTTTTGCGTCCCTTGCTATAGTCGTGATACATTAGCATGCGTGTACTGTGTCCCAAACAGTTTGTTTCAGGGTGTAGTTTTATGGCTAACAAATTGTACTGATTTAATGTTACTTCGGTACCTTGGGGTAAGATGCCCCCTGTCCTGATGGGGAAAGACGCCCCCCTAAATCCGTAGGCTGGCCTTCAAGGAACCCGTCAAATAAGATATTACATACTTGTGATGAGAGCCAAAGCCGATCTGGGACTATTGAGAGTCCAGTACGGTCGGGTGCTCCCCATGCCGGTCTCTCGGCCCACATCGCGACTTTTTGGGCGGCATCTGACTCTGAGAGCCCTCACGACGGCCTCTGTGGGCCCCATTATTGGCTCCAGGGCCCCTCACGACATCCTTTGAGGGCTCCCACGCTGGCCCCACGGGCCGCGCTGGCATCGGAGGTCCCCACGATGGGCTCGAGGGCCCTCAAGCATCATGAAGACCTATAAGAGCCCCACAGTGGTCTCCGAACGCCACCACGGAGGCTTGTTTGGCCGCGCTGGACTATGATGGCCCTAACGATGACCTCTGAAGCCCCTTACGACTACTTTTGAGGGCCCTTATGATGACGTTTGGTGTCTACTGCAGGCTCGAAGGGACTACTGATTCGTTCAGGCGATTCACGTGCCCATTTATGTCACTTATAGTGCAGGGGGCATCTTTCCCAACGTCAGGGGGCGTCTTTCCCACCCTGTGGGGTAAGATGCCCCCTTTCACTTCTTCAGGAAAATGCTTAATTGCAAAAAAAGTTATAATATTTCAGGCACGAAAGTGTGATATTTTTGGAGAAAAATGATGTCAGCTTCCGTTGAAACTCCAAGTTTTTGCTTTCCCATCGTCATTTTCGAATAATATATGACATAGCAAAACCCTGGGCATCTTTCCCCACTCTCCCCTACCTTTCATAATCGTTTGGCGTCAAAATACCTTAGTAATAAAAGTTTCGGCAGGTTCTGAAACACACATTGCCAGAATATTGTCAACGAGAGTTGACGCATTTAAAAATTATCGCAAAAAAGTGGGGTCTCAAGGGGTTTGACGTCCATAGTAGACAACTGACGCCTTATCGCTGATTTTCGACAAAATGCGTTTTACTCGGTGTTATAGCGCTTTCCCTAGAAACGGTGAACGGTGAAACATTTTATCTTTGACCTGACCTGTGACGTCATCGGTGACCCCGAGGTCAATGAAATTTGGTTTCCTTCGACAAATTTGACAGGGCTATCGAACGCCGTTTGAATTTTCCTGATCCATCCAGTAGTTGCGGAGATACGGGGGGGGGGAAATGCCCCCCCCCCCCACCGCGCGGAAGGTGGCCGGGAGGCCCACCGCCTGCCGGGTTAAGGTCGCCGTCCACTGGTTAGGCGTGCATATTTACGCGCTGAATTTAACATTGGAGCCTATGGGCTGTGCACCGACTGCGCTTCAGCGGCCTGCGCCGAACGCGCGATGAAGCGCAGTCGGCGCGCAGCTCATAGACTCCAATGTTAAATTCAGCGCGTAAAGATTCGCGCCTAACCAGTGGACGGCCGCCTTTACGCAGGAATTTAGTGCCTTACGAAAGAATGCCAAGAATGCAGCCACCTGTCACAGAGGCCAGCGTCAGCTTATCAGCATGCAGTTGGTTTTGAACTACGCAATACCGGGTCATTCAGAATAAAGGCGCACATTTGTTTTCTTCATAGAAGTGCAACAGCAAAAATACTGCATGCGCACGTGCTTATTTTTTACTTATCAATAAATGCTATTTTGTTTTGACTGGTCAGTGAAAAGTGTTGAAGATGCTGCCATTCCTGCCATTCACACCAGACCAAAGAACACAACTCGTCAAATTCTACCTGGAAACAAAATCAGTCGTTCTCACCCAGCGCAAATGGAAGAAGTGTTTCCAGGCAAGAAAAGCACCCTCTCGGAAGGCCATCCTGAGCCTGACCGAGAAGTTCTTGGCAACTGGGAGCCTAGAAAACAACAAAAAGGGCAGATGCGGGGCTAAGCGCACCAAACGGACCCCAGCAACCGCCCAAAAGGCACGACAAATTTTGACATCAGCCCCCAAAACGTCCCTAAAGCAGCTCAGCCAACAGCTGCGTTGTAGCTACAGCACCGCACAACGAATTGCGCGCACTGACTTGAAGTTGCGTCCGTACAAGATAAGTATCCATCAGAAACTTCGTGACTGTGATGAAAAAAGTCGCAAACGGTACTGTGCTTGGTTTAGCAGGAAATGCCACACTTCAAGTCGGTTCATCGAGAACATCTGGTTTTCAGATGAAGCGCACTTCCATTTGGACGGGCGTGTTAACAGCCAAAATTACCGCTACTGGGGTACTGAAGCACCAAGTGAGGTAGCAGAGAGGCCGCTGCACAGTAAGAAATGCACGGCTTGGTGCGCGATCAGTGCACAGGGCATTTCCGGCCCCATTTGGGTGGAAGATAGCGATGGTAACGCCACAACAGTCAACGCGGCGAGGTACCGCAAGATCCTGCAAAGATTTTGGAATGGTCTGCGCACTCGCTATCGCCACGCACAGGACCGGCTGAATGTACAGTGGTTCCAGCAAGATGGTGCGCCACCACACCGTGCAGCAGAGACCAAGGCCTGGCTCCAGGACCATTTCCAGGACCGCCTGATTGCAAAGGGGGTCGGCATCGAGTGGCCCCCTCACTCTCCGGATTTAACGCCACCGGATTTTTTTCTTTGGGGTCATCTGAAGTCGGAAGTTTACAAAAATGGACCCAAGACCATCGTCGAACTCAAGAAAGCCGTGGAACAAGCGGTGAGACGAATCCCTGTCGCAACATGCCGCGCCGTAATGGAAAGCGCTCGTAAAAGAGCTGAGCTGTGCCTTCGCGAAAACGGTGGTCACCTGGAACAAGTACTATAGATGGTCAGCTGTAGTTCTCTGACGTCAGCCGCTGATATCCAGCAAAATAGCATCGGTTTGCGAATGTTTTGGTGCCTGTCTTACCAGTATGCGATAAAAAATACAGGCTTGAGACAAAAAACAAATGTGTTCCTTTATTCTGAATGACCCTGTATGATTGGTCAACGCGTACTACAAAACGTCAGCAGCAGGTGGTGGCGTTAACACAGGCATAACATGGCTGGAAAATAATGTCAGGTAAAGTGTACATACCTACATATATCAGGGCACTGAAATGTCCACTCCTTGGAACCCTGACTACTGGATTTGTGATGATTGATGAATATCGTTGGCGGTGTTTCTGCATTTCAGAGATCGTCCGTCTGCAATGTCTCTGTTTACGTACGGCGACTTTTGCTGCGAGGCGCCGCTGGCGGTCTCGTCTCCGCGCGGCTCCACGGAGGACCTGCGCTCGATGCGCTGGCTGCTGACGGCCTGGCCGCCGGAGGCAGCCGCCGCGCCGCCGGCCGCCTCCGAGCGGCACCGGCTCAACGACACCATCCTGTCGGCCAGCTCCGAGGACGGCGACACGGACGGACCAGAGCGCTGCCGACCGACGCCGCCCACAGCACCGCCCAGAGCTGCCTCACCGGCACAGCCTCCTCCGGCGCTGGCGGCCTTGTCGGCTCAGCTGCTATCGCGTCCATACTCAAAACTGGCGCCTGAGCCTCGCCCACAGCAGCCTCGCCCACAGCAGCCTCGCCCAGAGCAGCCTCGCCCAGAGCAGCTGGCGCCTGAGCCTGGCCCGCAGCAGCTGGCGCCTGAGCCTGGCCCGCAGCAGCTGGCGCCTGAGCCTGGCCCGCAGCAGCTGGCGCCTGAGCCTGGCCCGCAGCAGCTGGCGCCTGAGCCTCGCCCGCAGCAGCTGGCGTCTCAGCATCGCCCACTGCCACCTCGCCCGCAGCAGCTGGCGCCTGAGCCTCGCCCGCAGCCACCTCGCCCACAGCAGCTGCCACCTCAGCCTGGCCGTCCGGTGCCGCGGTCAGTGACAGGTGGACAGAGGCGGGCTCCGTCTCCGCTGCCGGCGCCGCCCCGGCCCGACTTCGTCAACAGCCTGATCACAGTGAGCGCCGAGACGCTGCGGCGCGTGTGCGGCGCCGGCGGCCGGCCGTGGCGCGCGCTGCCGCCCGTGGCCGTGCCGCTCACTGAGCAGCTGACGGCGTGTCGCGCCGTGGTGCCGCTGCGCCGGCTGGGCCCCGGCGAGCTGGGCCGCTGGCTGGCGCCCGGCCGCGCCGGCCGCCGGCCGACCCGCTCCGTCTCCGAGTCGCTGTCGACTCCGGCGCGCGCCCCGATTGTCCGCGCTCGCTCCTGGACCGAGGCCGAGCTGACGAGCGGCGCCGCTGCCTGCCAGTCTGTATGGCCGCCGGCCGCCGGTCGCGCGCTCGACTCTGCGCGCGGTGGCTGTGTCAGCGGGCCGCCGGCCGCCAGGAGCGGCACGGCCGAGCGGGCCGACAGCCGCCGTCTGTGGCCGGTGGTGGTGAGTCGCCGGGCGGCCGAGGAGGCGGCCAGGGCCGTCCTGGGACCGAGCAGGCGCCGCCGCCACCACAGCAGAGACAGGCAGTCGACCGGCCGGCACGGCCGCTGTGAGGCGCCGGCCGACGGCGGCGCTGGAGATCACCGGCTGTTACCGTCAGCGCCACAGAACAAAGCCGCGGCCGAGCGGGAGGCCACTAGTCCCTTGAAGAAGAGGCCCAGAAAGCATGACGGCTCTACGTGTCATCATGACTATAAGTTGGCCACCGTGCAGGTGTCGGCAGGACCAGCAGTGCAGCGTGAGGAGGCGAAGACCATGGAAAAGCCGGAGCCGTCGGATAGACGCCGGACTGAGGTGGCGAGGGACTCAGTTTCGGCGTCTGCCAAAGCAGCCAAGGAGCCGGACACAACGCGAACAAAGATCAGAGACATCAAAACGAAAAGTGCAGCAGCAACAAAAGACAAGGACGAGCATGCTAAAACGAAGAGATCCAAATCATTGGATTTGAAAGAGGAGGATGATAAAGCCAAAGGATTCGCTGCCATGGACAGACACCTCAAACACTCGGAAGGGAAAGGAGCGGCAGCAGCTGAGGATAAGCCGGCGGGAGCTGTGAAGGCGAAGGAAGCCAAACGGTGTACCAAGCCCAGGACCCCGATCTCCCTGTTTTACCCGCCTGACCAACTGATTCCCACACCAGCCAGGCTGTGCGCGGAGCCGGCAGCGTGCCAGCCTCTCTCCAGGTCGGTGTCGGCGCCCGGTACGGCAGGCCGGGCGCAGCTGCCGGCGGCGGCCGGCACCGGCCCCACCAGCTGCTCCGCCCGAGACGCGCAGCGCCGGCACAGCTCACCGGCGCGGCCGCAGCAGCGCGCCGGTCACGTGACCAGCCGGCCCGCGGAGCCGGACTCGACGCGCCAGGCAGGACCGACGGAGCGGGACCCGACGCGCGAGGCAGGACCGACGGAGCGGGACTCGACGCACCAGGCAGGACTGACGGAGCCGGACCCGACGCGCCAGGCCCGGCCGCTCACTCCGAATCGCAAGGAGACCGCCAATCAGGAGGCGACAAACAGGTAAGTGAATGAATGAGGCTTTTCAGCCTGTCCGATATTCCTGATGTCTTGTTCACGCGTCAAGGTGATGCTTGTTTGGTCATCTGCAGCTTAGTCGACATTTAAAACAGGACACACGGTAGCGGGTGCTCACTGCTCACATAGACACGGCACACTGCTGCCTCCTCAGGCTTACACTCTCTTATGGTATAATCTACTCTTGCGTTTTGTGACCGTTGACGCGATAGGCCTTTTTCTTATTTTTGACAACCTGCGGTTCATCCATACAGTTTTCTTCCGCAATGGACCGCCCGGGACGGTGCAGCCGACCCAGCAGTCAGCGAGCGGCGCCCGGCGCCCGTACTGCCAGCGGTGCGCTCCGGCGCCAGCCCGGCTCCGGCTGTGACCGGCGCCGGGGCCGCCGTGCCCACCTCGGCGGCGGCGGCGGCGGCGGCGGCGCACCCGGAGCGGCCGGCCGCCTCCTCCAGCGGCGGCCTTCCCCCCGGCACCTCTCCGGCCGCTCCTCCAGCTCACCCCCGGGACCCGGACCGTGCTCTGGCCCCTCTCCCGGCTCCAGCGTCCGCCCATGCTCCGAACATCGCGGCGGCGGCCGCGCCGCCCCCGTCGGCCGTCCTGGCGCCGCTCACCGGCGCTGCCGGGCCGCGGACGCCGGTATACGCCGGCCGCCGCGCCCGCCGCCGGCCGCCGGCACCGACAGCGCCGTCGGACGCCGAGCGGGCGGCGGCGGCACGACGCGCGGCGCGGCGGCCCATCACGGCGCCGGGCGCGCCGCCGCCGCCGCCGCCCGCGGCCGTCTTCCCCGGCCGGCCGCACGAGTCGAGCGACTCTGATGACTCACTGGACCTGAGCGCCGAGATCCGGGCGCTGCAGGACAAGTACCGCAGCTCCTCCGATGACGAGGCAGCCGACTCGGACGGCGCGCCGAGCCGTCGGCTGCGCGGCGGCGCGGCACCGGCCGCCGGCTCGTCGCGCCAGCTGCGCGCACCCGCCGGCACAGCCGACGACAGCGGCGACTCCTGGTCCACGCCGGCGCACAGCGGCGACGACGAGCTCTCCATCTTCGTGGCCGAGTCCGACATGGAATGGTGGGTGCCGACCAATGTCCGAGCGCCGACTCGGCTCCTAACAGACCTGTTTTTAGGCATGGTCATTAATTTGGAACAAATTAAATTTGCGAGATTAGAAAGTGTTTCGTACTTTCATAATTGGCTCGAGATATAAAGCGATTGCATTTTTTGTTTGGGGGAGGGGAGGGGGCGTTATGAATTAATGTAATCATTCAATTATATTTAAATACTCATGTGTCTTGTGAAGAAAATGGCCGTCGCAGCCAGTCGGTCACTGTCAGCTGGCTGCTGTCCCCGCTGACTGCTGGGACGTCTCTGACCGGGCCGGGCGCGCCGTCTCAGGGAGGACCCTGGGCCGTCAGCGTGTGCCCAGAGAACGCCGGGAACATCGTCTGGGCTGGCAGCGAACCGCTCGCCGTACACGGCGCCGCCCCGCTGGCCGCCCAGCCAGCCGGCTGCCCCGAGTGCCGCTCAGAGACTGGGCATCGCGCGCCTCGAGCGGCCGCCGCGCGCCGCGCAGCGCTGGCCGCCGGCCGCTCAGGCGGCAGGCTGGCCCGGGCCGCTGCAGACGCCCGGCCACGAGCCTGCGTCGGCACCGGCCCACCAGCGCTCCGAGCGGCGGCGGCCGCCGTGGGGTGAGCTGCCGGCGGCGCCGCGCCAGCACAGGGGCCCGCTGCTGCCGCGGCCGCCGCCGCCGGTCGCGCTGCGTGCTCGGCCCGGCGTCGGACGGGTGCCCATGGAGCTGCCGATGCCGCAGTTCGGGCCGAAGCCGCAGTCGCAGCCGGACCGTTTACCGCCAGCAGACGGCGATCCTGGTGACCAGGACACGGATCAGCCGCTGCCGCCGCCGGCCGCCGCCGCCGCACCGGTCAGTGCTGCACTCGGAACGGGGGGGGGGGGGGGGGAGAGGTGACTGGTGTGTAGCTCTTCTGTAACTGAACTTGTGCTTTTTATAAATCCAGTCAAACTTTAGTCTAGCATTCAATAATACAATTCCGAACGCATTTTCGCTTTCGGCGTATGTGAAGTTATTTTCCACGCTGCATTGGTTTGCATTGGCGGCTGTTGGTGGCGGTGCTGACTGCTGGGTGTGGCCCACAGTGCGGTGACTCGGTCCCGCCGCCGATGGCCAGCGCTGAGCTCGAGGAGGGCGAGATTCCGCCCGACTGCCAGTCACAGGACGACAGTCCGCCCGACGAGCACGCGCCGGCCGCCGAGTCGGGTAGGTACTAACTACTAACCGGCCAGCGGCGGCTCAGTCGGCATCAATACAGGCGACTGATGCCGCCGAATCGGGCTGAACCTGGACTTGGCCTTCTGAAATCCACAAATCTACTAAATTAAACATAAACTTCTTAGATGATGGCAATAACTATTAGCGAAATGAAAAGGGTAATTCCCTTTGGTTGTGCATTGTAATGTAGGTAAAACTGGATGTAAAAATAATGTTAACTAACGTTACATTGATACTTGGCACGCGGCGCGCCGACCCTGCGCAGTGGGCAGTCCAGTGTTCGGGCCCTGCCGAGTGACTACTCCCTCTGTCGCCGAGTGGCTCCCCTCCCCCGCCGAGTGACTCCTCTCCCCGCCGAGTGACTGCTCCCCCGCCGCCGTCAGCCGGCCTGCCGCCGCCGCTGCTGAAGGCTGAGCCGCCGTCGGCCGAGGTGGCCGAGCTGCTGGCCGGCTACCGCCACCTCGACTCGCCGGACTACTGCGCCGCCTTCCTGCGACTGAGACCGTGCCGCTGCCCGGCCGACAGCGGCACGCACCAGGTGACGCGCCGCCCCCCCCCTCCCGTGCCCCCGGGCTTGTGTGTGTGTGAGGGGAGGGGTGCACTGGGACTGGGCGTATGGGCGCTGAGCAGCCCGGCCCCAGCGGCGTCGGTTTGGCTCGCTTGGTGCTGGTGGGTGTGACTTTTGCCGATTGCTGAATGCCATTGCCTGACTTTTCCCGATGGGCTGTTCCATTTCCTGTAACTGTGCTCTGCTGCCGTTGCCTTGTTCAGGCCCTGGTGCGGCTCTGATCTCAGTGGTCTTTGTCACGCGCTCGGGGTGACCTTGCCTGCGCCTGCTCAGCCTGTGTCTGTTGGTTGCGGTCCGCCTGTGCACGTGTGTGTGTGTGTGTGCTGAGGCGCGGCGCTGACGGGCCGCTGCTGCAGCTGCCGGCTCCGGGCGTGCTGCGCACCCGACTGCGGCGGCTGGCGGCTGACGGCGAGCACCCAGCGGCGCTGCAGCTGGTCCGGGCCGCCTGCGAGCGGTCCATGCACGAGCCCGGGCCGCTGCTCAGCCCCGGTCAGTGAGACGGCGGCGCCGCCTGCCGGCACCGCGAGCTGCAGCACCGCTACACTGCACCGCAACACTGCGAGCTGCAACACCGCTACACCGCGAGCTGCAGCACCGCCCGGCACCACTGCACCGCGAGCTGCAGCACCGCTACACTGCACCACTGCACCGCGAGCTGCAACACCGCTACACTGCACCGCTACACCGCGAGCTGCAGCACCGCCCGGCACCGCTACACTGCGAGCTGCAACACCGCTACACTGCACCTCTACAACACCGCCCGGCACCGCTACACTGCAACACTGCTCCGTGTCACCGCTTCGTAATTTTACTCCGTAACACTGCTCCGTAACGCTGCTCCGTAACATTTTCCCGTAACACTGCCCCGTAACACTGCCTCGTAAGACCGCCCCGTAACACCTGCTCCGTAGCCTCGTAACACTATCCGGCATTACTGCACCGTAAGACTGCCCGGCAGCACTGCCTCGTAAGAGTGCCCCGTAACTCTGCCAGCTGTCACGTAACAGTGCTCCGTAACACTGTCAGTTGTCACGTACCACTGCCAGGTATTGATACACTGTAACACTGCCACGTAACGATGCCTCTCATCATTTCTGTCCTTGGTATCAGCAGTAAGTCAGCTCTGAAGTCGGTCACCATTTTTTATTTTGGATATTCCGATAGTTTGGTAATGCTTGGTAAAATAGTTCCTTTCACCTGCCTGCTTTGTCATTGTAAAAGCGTTGCCTGGCGGTGCTCTTTCCGGGTTGACGCTTAAACGGTTAATGAGAGCGTTGCATGGCGTTGAAGATTGTAAGTGTGTTGACGTTGCACTGAAATGTCCACGCTGTGGGATGATGCAGATTGTCACCGTTGACTGTCTGTCCTTCACAGACAGAGTGGCCTCGCCGTATGTACGGCGTGGTGGTGCAGCTGTCTGACCGTGTCCTGTATGTACACAGGGTGCCTGGCCTCGCTGTACGACGTGGTGGTGCAGCTGTCTGACCGTGTCCTGTATGTACACAGGGTGCCTGGCCTCGCTGTACGACGTGGTGGTGCAGCTGTCTGACCGTGTCCTGTATGTACACAGGGTGCCTGGCCTCGCTGTACGACGCGGTGGTGCAGCTGTCTGACCGTGTCCTGTATGTACACAGGGTGCCTGGCCTCGCTGTACGACGTGGTGGTGCAGCTGTCTGACCGTGTCCTGTATGTACACAGGGTGCCTGGCCTCGCTGTACGACGCGGTGGTGCAGCTGTCTGACCGTGTCCTGTATGTACACAGGGTGCCTGGCCTCGCCGTATGTACGGCGTGGTGGTGCAGCTGTCTGACCGTGTCCTGTATGTACACAGGGTGCCTGGCCTCGCTGTACGACGTGGTGGTGCAGCTGTCTGACCGTGTCCTGTATGTACACAGGGTGCCTGGCCTCGCTGTACGGTGCGGTGGTGCAGCTGTCTGACCGTGTCCTGTATGTACACAGGGTGCCTGGCCTCGCCGTATGTACGGCGCGGTGGTGCAGCTGTCTGACCGTGTCCTGTATGTACACAGGGTGCCTGGCCTCGCTGTACGACGCGGTGGTGCAGCTGTCTGACCGTGTCCTGTATGTACACAGGGTGCCTGGCCTCGCCGTATGTACGGTACGACATGGTGGTGCAGCTGTCTGACCGTGTCCTGTATGTACACAGGGTGCCTGGCCTCGCTGTACGACGTGGTGGTGCAGCTGTCTGACCGTGTCCTGTATGTACGCAGGGTGCCTGGCCTCGCTGTACGACGTGGTGGTGCAGCTGTCTGACCGTGTCCTGTATGTACACAGGGTGCCTGGCCTCGCTGTACGTTGCAGTGGTGCAGCTGTCTGACCGTGTCCTGTATGTACACAGGGTGCCTGGCCTCGCCATATGTACGACGTGGTGGTGCAGCTGTCTGACCGTGTCCTGTATGTACACAGGGTGCCTGGCCTCGCTGTACGACGCGGTGGTGCAGCTGTCTGACCGTGTCCTGTATGCACACAGGGTGCCTGGCCTCGCTGTACGACGTGGTGGTGCAGCTGTCTGACCGTGTCCTGTATGTACACAGGGTGCCTGGCCTCGCTGTACGACGTGGTGGTGCAGCTGTCTGACCGTGTCCTGTATGTACACAGGGTGCCTGGCCTCGCTGTACGACGTGGTGGTGCAGCTGTCTGACCGTGTCCTGTATGTACACAGGGTGCCTGGCCTCGCCATATGTACGACGTGGTGGTGCAGCTGTCTGACCGTGTCCTGTATGTACACAGGGTGCCTGGCCTCGCTGTACGACGTGGTGGTGCAGCTGTCTGACCGTGTCCTGTATGTACACAGGGTGCCTGGCCTCGCTGTACGGCGCGGCGGTGCAGCTGTCTGACCGTGTCCTGTATGCACACAGGGTGCCTGGCCTCGCTGTACGGTGCGGTGGTGCAGCTGTCTGACCGTGTCCTGTATGTGCACAGGGTGCCTGGCCTCGCTGTACGACGTGGTGGTGCAGCTGTCTGACCGTGTCCTGTATGTACACAGGGTGCCTGGCCTCGCTGTACGTTGCAGTGGTGCAGCTGTCTGACCGTGTCCTGTATGTACACAGGGTGCCTGGCCTCGCTGTACGACGTGGTGGTGCAGCTGTCTGACCGTGTCCTGTATGTACACAGGGTGCCTGGCCTCGCTGTACGGCGCGGTGGTGCAGCTGTCTGACCGTGTCCTGTATGCACACAGGGTGCCTGGCCTCGCTGTACGACGTGGTGGTGCAGCTGTCTGACCGTGTCCTGTATGTACACAGGGTGCCTGGCCTCGCTGTACGGCGCGGTGGTGCAGCTGTCTGACCGTGTCCTGTATGTACACAGGGTGCCTGGCCTCGCTGTACGGCGCGGTGGTGCAGCTGTCTGACCGTGTCCTGTATGCACACAGGGTGCCTGGCCTCGCCGTATGTACGGCGCGGCGGTGCAGCTGTCTGACCGTGTCCTGTATGTACACAGGGTGCCTGGCCTCGCTGTACGACGCGGTGGTGCAGCTGTCTGACCGTGTCCTGTATGTACACAGGGTGCCTGGCCTCGCTGTACGGCGCGGTGGTGCAGCTGTCTGACCGTGTCCTGTATGCACACAGGGTGCCTGGCCTCGCCGTATGTACGGCGCGGCGGTGCAGCTGTCTGACCGTGTCCTGTATGTACACAGGGTGCCTGGCCTCGCTGTACGACGCGGTGGTGCAGCTGTCTGACCGTGTCCTGTATGTACACAGGGTGCCTGGCCTCGCTGTACGGCGTGGTGGTGCAGCTGTCTGACCGTGTCCTGTATGTACACAGGGTGCCTGGCCTCGCTGTACGGCGCGGCGGTGCAGCTGTCTGACCGTGTCCTGTATGCACACAGGGTGCCTGGCCTCGCTGTACGACGTGGTGGTGCAGCTGTCTGACCGTGTCCTGTATGTACACAGGGTGCCTGGCCTCGCTGTACGACGCGGTGGTGCAGCTGTCTGACCGTGTCCTGTATGCACACAGGGTGCCTGGCCTCGCTGTACGACGTGGTGGTGCAGCTGTCTGACCGTGTCCTGTATGTACACAGGGTGCCTGGCCTCGCTGTACGACGTGGTGGTGCAGCTGTCTGACCGTGTCCTGTATGTACACAGGGTGCCTGGCCTCGCTGTACGACGTGGTGGTGCAGCTGTCTGACCGTGTCCTGTATGTACACAGGGTGCCTGGCCTCGCTGTACGACGTGGTGGTGCAGCTGTCTGACCGTGTCCTGTATGTACACAGGGTGCCTGGCCTCGCCGTATGTACGGCGCGGTGGTGCAGCTGTCTGACCGTGTCCTGTATGTACACAGGGTGCCTGGCCTCGCTGTACGACGTGGTGGTGCAGCTGTCTGACCGTGTCCTGTATGTACACAGGGTGCCTGGCCTCGCTGTACGACGCGGTGGTGCAGCTGTCTGACCGTGTCCTGTATGCACACAGGGTGCCTGGCCTCGCTGTACGACGTGGTGGTGCAGCTGTCTGACCGTGTCCTGTATGTACACAGGGTGCCTGGCCTCGCTGTACGACGTGGTGGTGCAGCTGTCTGACCGTGTCCTGTATGTACACAGGGTGCCTGGCCTCGCTGTACGACGTGGTGGTGCAGCTGTCTGACCGTGTCCTGTATGTACACAGGGTGCCTGGCCTCGCTGTACGGCGCGGTGGTGCAGCTGTCTGACCGTGTCCTGTATGTACACAGGGTGCCTGGCCTCGCTGTACGACGCGGTGGTGCAGCTGTCTGACCGTGTCCTGTATGTACACAGGGTGCCTGGCCTCGCTGTACGACGTAGTGGTGCAGCTGTCTGACCGTGTCCTGTATGTACACAGGGTGCCTGGCCTCGCTGTACGACGTGGTGGTGCAGCTGTCTGACCGTGTCCTGTATGTACACAGGGTGCCTGGCCTCGCTGTACGACGTGGTGGTGCAGCTGTCTGACCGTGTCCTGTATGTACACAGGGTGCCTGGCCTCGCTGTACGGTGCGGTGGTGCAGCTGTCTGACCGTGTCCTGTATGTACACAGGGTGCCTGGCCTCGCCATATGTACGACGCGGTGGTGCAGCTGTCTGACCGTGTCCTGTATGCACACAGGGTGCCTGGCCTCGCTGTACGACGTGGTGGTGCAGCTGTCTGACCGTGTCCTGTATGTACACAGGGTGCCTGGCCTCGCTGTACGACGCGGTGGTGCAGCTGTCTGACCGTGTCCTGTATGTACACAGGGTGCCTGGCCTCGCTGTATGACGCGGTGGTGCAGCTGTCTGACCGTTTCCTGTATGTACACAGGGTGCCTGGCCTCGCTGTACGGCGTGGTGGTGCAGCTGTCTGACCGTGTCCTGTATGTGCACAGGGTGCCTGGCCTCGCTGTACGGCGCGGTGGTGCAGCTGTCTGACCGTGTCCTGTATGCACACAGGGTGCCTGGCCTCGCTGTACGACGTGGTGGTGCAGCTGTCTGACCGTGTCCTGTATGTACACAGGGTGCCTGGCCTCGCTGTACGGTGCGGTGGTGCAGCTGTCTGACCGTGTCCTGTATGTACACAGGGTGCCTGGCCTCGCCATATGTACGACGTGGCGGTGCAGCTGTCTGACCGTGTCCTGTATGTACACAGGGTGCCTGGCCTCGCTGTACGGCGCGGCGGTGCAGCTGTCTGACCGTGTCCTGTATGTACACAGGGTGCCTGGCCTCGCTGTACGACGTGGTGGTGCAGCTGTCTGACCGTTTCCTGTATGTACACAGGGTGCCTGGCCTCGCTGTACGACGTGGTGGTGCAGCTGTCTGACCGTGTCCTGTATGTACACAGGGTGCCTGGCCTCGCTGTACGGCGTGGTGGTGCAGCTGTCTGACCGTGTCCTGTATGTACACAGGGTGCCTGGCCTCGCTGTACGACGTGGTGGTGCAGCTGTCTGACCGTGTCCTGTATGTACACAGGGTGCCTGGCCTCGCTGTACGACGTGGTGGTGCAGCTGTCTGACCGTGTCCTGTATGTACACAGGGTGCCTGGCCTCGCTGTACGGCGTGGTGGTGCAGCTGTCTGACCGTGTCCTGTATGTACACAGGGTGCCTGGCCTCGCTGTACGACGTGGTGGTGCAGCTGTCTGACCGTGTCCTGTATGTACACAGGGTGCCTGGCCTCGCCGTATGTACGGCGTGGTGGTGCAGCTGTCTGACCGTGTCCTGTATGTACACAGGGTGCCTGGCCTCGCTGTATGTACGGTGCGGTGGTGCAGCTGTCTGACCGTGTCCTGTATGTACACAGGGTGCCTGGCCTCGCCGTATGTACGGCGTGGTGGTGCAGCTGTCTGACCGTGTCCTGTATGTACACAGGGTGCCTGGCCTCGCTGTACGACGTGGTGGTGCAGCTGTCTGACCGTGTCCTGTATGTACACAGGGTGCCTGGCCTCGCTGTACGACGTGGTGGTGCAGCTGTCTGACCGTGTCCTGTATGTACACAGGGTGCCTGGCCTCGCTGTACGGCGCGGTGGTGCAGCTGTCTGACCGTGTCCTGTATGTACACAGGGTGCCTGGCCTCGCTGTACGGCGCGGTGGTGCAGCTGTCTGACCGTGTCCTGTATGTACACAGGGTGCCTGGCCTCGCTGTACGACGTGGTGGTGCAGCTGTCTGACCGTGTCCTGTATGCACACAGGGTGCCTGGCCTCGCTGTACGACGTGGTGGTGCAGCTGTCTGACCGTGTCGCTGTATGTACACAGGGTGCCTGGCCTCGCTGTACGACGTGGTGGTGCAGCTGTCTGACCGTGTCCTGTATGTACACAGGGTGCCTGGCCTCGCTGTACGACGTGGTGGTGCAGCTGTCTGACCGTGTCCTGTATGTACACAGGGTGCCTGGCCTCGCTGTACGACGTGGTGGTGCAGCTGTCTGACCGTGTCCTGTATGTGCACAGGGTGCCTGGCCTCGCTGTACGACGTGGTGGTGCAGCTGTCTGACCGTGTCCTGTATGTACACAGGGTGCCTGGCCTCGCTGTACGACGTGGTGGTGCAGCTGTCTGACCGTGTCCTGTATGTACACAGGGTGCCTGGCCTCGCTGTACGACGCGGTGGTGCAGCTGTCTGACCGTGTCCTGTATGTACACAGGGTGCCTGGCCTCGCTGTACGACGTGGTGGTGCAGCTGTCTGACCGTGTCCTGTATGTACACAGGGTGCCTGGCCTCGCTGTACGACGCGGTGGTGCAGCTGTCTGACCGTGTCCTGTATGTACACAGGGTGCCTGGCCTCGCTGTACGACATGGTGGTGCAGCTGTCTGACCGTGTCCTGTATGTACACAGGGTGCCTGGCCTCGCTGTACGACGTGGTGGTGCAGCTGTCTGACCGTGTCCTGTATGTACACAGGGTGCCTGGCCTCGCTGTACGACGCGGTGGTGCAGCTGTCTGACCGTGTCCTGTATGTACACAGGGTGCCTGGCCTCGCTGTACGACGTGGTGGTGCAGCTGTCTGACCGTGTCCTGTATGTACACAGGGTGCCTGGCCTCGCTGTACGACGTGGTGGTGCAGCTGTCTGACCGTGTCCTGTATGTACACAGGGTGCCTGGCCTCGCTGTACGGCGTGGTGGTGCAGCTGTCTGACCGTGTCCTGTATGTACACAGGGTGCCTGGCCTCGCTGTACGACGTGGTGGTGCAGCTGTCTGACCGTGTCCTGTATGTACACAGGGTGCCTGGCCTCGCTGTACGGCGCGGTGGTGCAGCTGTCTGACCGTGTCCTGTATGTACACAGGGTGCCTGGCCTCGCCGTATGTACGGCGTGGTGGTGCAGCTGTCTGACCGTGTCCTGTATGTACACAGGGTGCCTGGCCTCGCTGTACGACGTGGTGGTGCAGCTGTCTGACCGTGTCCTGTATGTACACAGGGTGCCTGGCCTCGCTGTACGACGTGGTGGTGCAGCTGTCTGACCGTGTCCTGTATGTACACAGGGTGCCTGGCCTCGCTGTACGGTGCGGTGGTGCAGCTGTCTGACCGTGTCCTGTATGTACACAGGGTGCCTGGCCTCGCCGTATGTACGGCGCGGTGGTGCAGCTGTCTGACCGTGTCCTGTATGTACACAGGGTGCCTGGCCTCGCTGTACGACGTGGTGGTGCAGCTGTCTGACCGTGTCCTGTATGTACACAGGGTGCCTGGCCTCGCTGTACGGCGCGGTGGTGCAGCTGTCTGACCGTGTCCTGTATGTACACAGGGTGCCTGGCCTCGCCGTATGTACGGCGTGGTGGTGCAGCTGTCTGACCGTGTCCTGTATGTACACAGGGTGCCTGGCCTCGCTGTACGACGCGGCGGTGCAGCTGTCTGACCGTGTCCTGTATGTACACAGGGTGCCTGGCCTCGCTGTACGACGTGGTGGTGCAGCTGTCTGACCGTGTCCTGTATGTACACAGGGTGCCTGGCCTCGCTGTACGGCGCGGCGGTGCAGCTGTCTGACCGTGTCCTGTATGTACACAGGGTGCCTGGCCTCGCTGTACGACGCGGTGGTGCAGCTGTCTGACCGTGTCCTGTATGTACACAGGGTGCCTGGCCTCGCTGTACGACGTGGTGGTGCAGCTGTCTGACCGTGTCCTGTATGTACACAGGGTGCCTGGCCTCGCTGTACGACGCGGTGGTGCAGCTGTCTGACCGTGTCCTGTATGTACACAGGGTGCCTGGCCTCGCTGTACGACGTGGTGGTGCAGCTGTCTGACCGTGTCCTGTATGTACACAGGGTGCTTGGCCTCGCTGTACGACGCGGTGGTGCAGCTGTCTGACCGTGTCCTGTATGTACACAGGGTGCCTGGCCTCGCCGTATGTACGGCGTGGTGGTGCAGCTGTCTGACCGTGTCCTGTATGTACACAGGGTGCCTGGCCTCGCCGTATGTACGACGTGGTGGTGCAGCTGTCTGACCGTGTCCTGTATGTACACAGGGTGCCTGGCCTCGCCGTATGTACGGCGTGGTGGTGCAGCTGTCTGACCGTGTCCTGTATGTACACAGGGTGCCTGGCCTCGCTGTACGACGTGGTGGTGCAGGCGTGTGTGCTGGCCGGCGAGCCGGCCGCTGCTCTGCAGATGATCGCCGACCTGCGCTCGGTCGGCATACGCAGTTCAGAGCTGTTCCACAACATCATCAAGGCTCAGGTGAGCAGCGGGTCGCCAACCGGGGGCGGTCGGCCACCCGCGGGGCGCTCAGCTCCGGCCCCCGCTCTCTGTGGGTAGCTCGCGTGTTAACATAGGTGGGCACCGCAGGCTTTGACATTGTCGATTTCATGCTCGTTCATCTGCTGTTTCAAAATAAGTGGTCAGTTACTTGTCGAAGGTAAAAAAGCTGGCCCCAAACCGATCGGCTCCGAGGTCCCATGGAGCGAAATCTTATGCGATACCAAATGTGCTGACTGAATTTGATTGATGGTGTCCTTCGCGTTGTGTGTTTATAACAACGTTACAATTTGTGTTCTTCTGGAAAAATAAATGATACGTTTATGCATGTGACTGTAAAATGCCTCACTGGCGATACTGCTTGTAATTAACGAATTTCTGAGATCGGCAGTTATGCACCCAACTAAGCCCGCCGAGTCTGCGCGCCGCTCACTGCACCATGTCTGGGTGGGAACTGTCCGTACGGCAGGTCTGTCGCTGTGACGGTGTCCGTACGGCGGGTCTGTCTGGCTGTGACGGTGTCCGTACGGCGGGTCTGTCGCTGTGACGGTGTCCGTGCGGCGGCTCTGTCGCTGTGACGGTGTCATTACGGCGGCTCTCGCTGTGACGGTGTCCGTACGGCGGGTCTGTCGCTGTGACGGTGTCCGTACGGCGGGTCTGTCTGGCTGTGACGGTGTCCGTACGGCGGGTCTGTCTGGCTGTGACGGTGTCCGTACGGCGGGTCTGTCACTGTGACGGTGTCCGTACGGCGGGTCTGTCGCTGTGACGGTGTCCGTACGGCGGCTCTGTCGCTGTGATGGTGTCCGTACGGCGGGTCTGTCCGTCTGTGACGGTGTCCGTACGGCGGGTCTGTCACTGTGACGGTGTCCGTACGGCGGCTCTGTCGCTGCGACGGTGTCCGTACGGCGGGTCTGTCGCTGTGACGGTGTCCGTACGGCGGGTCTGTCGCTGTGACGGTGTCCGTACGGTGGGTCTGTCGCTGTGACGGTGTCCGTACGGCGGGTCTGACTTTCTGTGACGGTGTCCGTACGGCGGGTCTGTCGCTGTGACGGTGTCCGTACGGCGGGTCTGTCGCTGTGACGGTGTCCGTACGGCGGGTCTGCCGCTGTGAAGGTGTCCGTACGGCGGGTCTGCCGCTGTGACTGTGTCCATACGGCGGCTCTGTCTGGCTGTGACGGTGTCCGTACGGCGGGTCTGTCGCTGTGACGGTGTCCGTACGGCGGCTCTGCCGCTGTGACGGTGTCCGTACGGCGGGTCTGTCGCTGTGACGGTGTTCGTACGGCGGGTCTGTCTGGCTGTGACGGTGTTGGGTCTGACTGCGCCAGGCGCCGGCGGCCTGGCTGTCGGCGCCGCTGTCGGACCTGCTGTCGGCTCTGGTGGCCGGCAGGGTGGAGCTGCCACCCGCCACCTGGCGCCAGCTGCTGCAGCTCTGCGTTCACTCGCACGCCGCCCACCCCACCTGGATGACTCTGGGAAGAATGATGGATGTGAGTACCTGCCCCAATAACACTTATTCAGCGCACGTGCCTATTTACGAGTATTTTGTTAATTAGCCATCTGTCTTTTGTTTTTCATGTTTTGTTATCCATCATTGCCTGTGTGGCTCATTTAGTGGCTGCGCTCGACCTGCGTGCAGCCTGTCGCCTGTAACACGCGCCTGCGGCCGGTTGCCGCCAGGTGGGAGTGATGCCGCCGCCGGCGCTGGTGGAGCGGGCGCTGCGGATCGCGCAGGCCGACTCCGACCACCTGCTCGGCAAGAGCGGCTGGCTGCTGGTGCGCCACGTGCGCCTGCTCACCGACGTCCGGCCAGTCGCCAGGTAATGGGGCCTCTCTGTGGCCGTCGCTGCGCCGCTCAACTGGACGGCGGGATGATGTGTGGCCTGTCACTGGGCGAGAGGAGAGATGGCTGTGTTGTTACGCGGCTACAGCAGAGCGTGCTCCTGTCGTGTCGTGCTGTTTGTTTGAATTCTGACGTTGATCCGTAATCTTCCGGTGCGTTCGCCGGGGAAGCTGTTACGTGCTGTGGCTGACGCCGACTCTGAACGCTGCCGTCCGTCCGTCCGTCAGGGCCAAGTACCTGTCGCGGCTGCGCTGGCGGGGCCTGGGTCGGCTGGCAGACGCCATCGCGGCGGCGCTGCGGGCGGTGCTGGACGCGCCGCCCGGGCCGGACCGGCGGCCGCCGCCGCCGCCGCTGCCGCTGCCGGCCGGCCGACCCATGCCTGAGGGCTCGATGGTGGCCATCCCGAGGCCGTCGCCGCTGGCGCTCGCCGCGCCGCCGTCGCCGCAGTTTTCGCCGGCCGAGTCGGAGGAGAAGGCGACGGCCACCGACTCTGAGCCGGCCCAGTCGCCGGCCGGCCGGCCGTCGGACACACCGCGCTCGCCGGAGCCGCGCTCGGCGCCGTCGCCCGGCCTCTCGCCGCTGCACATCAAGTCAGAGGTGTGCTCGGTCAAGGAGTCGCCGCAGGTGCCGGCAGAGAGCCTGGAGTGCGCCGAGGAGGCCGGCCGCTCGCCAGCGGGCGACTCCGACCGCCACGAGCGGGCCACGACGCGCTCGGAGCCGGCGCTGTCGCTGCTGCCGGAGGCGCCGGAGCCGCGTCGGCCAGACTCGGTGCCGCTGCAGCTGACGTTCGACTTTGAGCCGCCGCCGGGCGCCGTCGATGCGGCGCCGAGCGGGCCGCCGGTGGCGCCCGACCAGCTGCAGCTGCAGCGCGTCCGCCGCCGGCTGGAGCAGCTGGCCGGGGGCGCCGGGCCGCAGACCGACCCGGGGCCGGCCGACACGGCCACACCAGCTGCAGTGGACCGCCGCCCGCCGGCTGACGCTGCAGAGCAGTGGACGCAGCCGGCGGCAGCGGGGCCGCGGCGCGACCGCGCGGAGGCGGAGGCGGAGGCGGAGGTGGCGCCGCTGGTGGCCCGTCTGCGGAGAGCCGTCGCGGTCGGGCCGCCGGCTGCGCTGAAGGCGCTCAAGACTGAACTGGTGGACGGCCCTGGCCGGTCTGCCGAACTGTTCCAACGAGTCTGCTCGCAAATGCTGGGTGAGCGCCACCGTACAGACAGACTCCACTGGACAGCCGGGTGGACAGACACTCCACTGGACAGCCGGGTGGACAGACACTCCACTGGACAGCCGGGTGGACAGACACTCCACTGGACAGCCGGGTGGACAGACACTCCACTGGACAGCCGGGTGGACAGACACTCCACTGGACAGCCAGGTGACAGACACTCCACTGGACAGCCGGGTGGACAGACACTCCATGACTGGACAGCCGGGTGGACAGACACTCCACCGGGCACACGGGTGGACACGCCGTGGGACGGGGGGGGGGGGGGGGGTACACTGTCGGCTCTTGGCGCAGCAGTGGACACTGAACACACTGGTGGGTGGTCCTCAGATGCGGCAGCACTCTGCTTCAACCATAAACGGTTCGCCGAGGTATCATATGCTGCTGATTTGTGTCAAAGGGGATTTTTCTTGTTCAAATTTTACCCGTAATATTTCATCTTCACACACTGCCCAACCACGACTGTGCCCCCATCTCAGTAACAGGTGACAGTGAACAATAACAGGGACCGTAACAGGTGACAGCCATCATGATACTGATGGCTGTCACCTGGTACTGTCCTCGTGTGTCTGTGTGGCTGTCTCTGTGACTGTCTCTGTGACCGTCTCTGTTGTTCTGTGTCTGTGCGGCTGTCTCTGTGACTGTCTCTGTTGCTCTGTGTCTGTGTGGCTGTCTCTGTGACTGTCTCTGTTGCTCTGTGTCTCTGTGACTGTCTCTGTTGCTCTGCGTCTTTGTGGCCGTCTCTGTGACTGTCTCTGTTGCGCTGTGTCTGTGTGGCTGTCTCTGTGACTGTCCTGTCTCTGTTGCTCTGTGTTTGTGCGGCTGTCTCTGTGACTGTCTCTGTTGCTCTGTGTCTGTGTGACCGTCTCTGTGACTGTCTCTGTTGCGCTGTGTCTGTGTGACCGTCTCTGTGACTGTCTCTGTTGCTCTGTGTCTGTGTGACCGTCTCTATGACTGTCTCTGTAGCTCTGTGTCTGTGTGACCGTCTCTGTTGCTCTGTGTCTGTGTGACCGTCTATGTTGCTCTGTGTCTGTGTGACCGTCTCTGTTGCTCTGTGTCTGCGGATGTCTCTGTGACTGTCTCTGTTGCTCTGTGACTGTCTCTGTGACCGTCTCTGTTGCTCTGTGTCTGTGTGACCGTCTCTGTGACTGTCTCTGTTGCTCTGTGTCTGTGTGACCGTCTCTGTGACCGTCTCTGTCGCTCTGTGTCTGTGTGACCGTCTCTGTGACTGTCTCTGTTGCTCTGTGTCTGTGTGACCGTCTCTGTGACTGTCTCTGTTGCTCTGTGTCTGTGCGGCTGTCTCTGTGAGTCTGTGACTGTCTCTGTTGCGCTGTGTCTGTGTGACCGTCTCTGTGACTGTGTCTATTGCTTTGTGTCTGTGTGGCCGTCTTTGTGACCGTCTCTGTTGCTCTGTGTCTGCGGATGTCTCTGTGACTGTCTCTGTTGCTCTGTGACTGTCTCTGTGACCGTCTCTGTTGCTCTGTGTCTGTGTGATCGTGTGTGTCTCTGTTGCTCTGTGTCTGTGTGACCGTCTCTGTGACCGCCTCTGTTGCTCTGTGTCTGTGTGACCGTCTCTGTGACTGTCTCTGTTGCTCTGTGTCTGTGTGACCGTCTCTGTGACTGCCTCTGTTGCTCTGTGTCTGTGCGGCTGTCTCTGTGAGTCTATGACCGTCTCTGTTGCTCTGTGTCTGTGCGGCTGTCTCTGTGAGTCTATGACCGTCTCTGTTGCTCTGTGTCTGTGACTGTCTCTGTTGCTCTGTGTCTGTGTGACTGTCTCTGTTGCTCTGTGTCTGTGCGGCTGTCTCTGTGACTGTCTGTTGCTCTGTGTCTCTGTGACTGTCTCTGTTGCTCTGTGTCTGTGCGGCTGTCTCTGTTGCTCTGTGTCTGTGTGACCGTCTCTGTGACTGTCTCTGTTGCTCTGTCTGTGTGACCGTCTCTGTGACTGTCTCTGCTGCTCTGTGTCTGTGTGACCGTCTCTGTGTCCGTTTCTGTTGCTCTGTGTCTGTGCGGCTGTCTCTGTGACTGTCTCTGTTGCTCTGTGTCTGTGTGACCGTCTCTGTGACTGTCTCTGTTGCTCTGTGTCTGTGTGACTGTCTCTGTGACTGTCTCTGTTGCTCTGTGTCTCTGTGACCGTCTCTGTTGCTCTGTGTCTGTGTGACCGTCTCTGTGACTGTCTCTGTTGCTCTGTGTCTGTGTGACCGTCTCTGTGACTGTCTCTGTTGCTCTGTGTCTGTGTGACCGTCTCTGTGACTGTCTCTGTTGCTCTGTGTCTGTGTGACTGTCTCTGTGACTGTCTCTGTTGCTCTGTGTCTCTGTGGCCGTCTCTGTTGCTCTGTGTCTCTGTGACCGTCTCTGTGACTGTCTCTGTTGCTCTGTGTCTGTGTGACCGTCTCTGTGACTGTCTCTGTTGCTCTGTGTCTGTGTGACTGTCTCTGTGACTGTCTCTGTTGCTCTGTGTCTCTGTGACCGTCTCTGTTGCTCTGTGTCTGTGTGACCGTCTCTGTGACCGTCTCTCTTGCTCTGTGTCTGTGTGACCGTCTCTGTGACCGTCTCTCTTGCTCTGTGTCTGTGTGACCGTCTCTGTGACTGTCTCTGTTGCTCTGTGTCTGTGTGACCGTCTCTGTGACTGTCTCTGTTGCTCTGTGTCTGTGTGACTGTCTCTGTGACTGTCTCTGTTGCTCTGTGTCTCTGTGATCGTCTCTGTTGCTCTGTGTCTGTGTGACCGTCTCTGTGACTGTCTCTGTTGCTCTGTGTCTGTGTGACCGTCTCTGTGACTGTCTCTGTTGCTCTGTGTCTGTGTGACCGTCTCTGTGACTGTCTCTGTTGCTCTGTGTCTCTGTGACTGTCTCTGTTGCTCTGTGTCTGTGTGACCGTCTCTGTGTCTGTGTGACCGTCTCTGTGACTGTCTCTGTTGCTCTGTGTCTGTGTGACCGTCTCTCTTGCTCTGTGTCTGTGTGACCGTCTCTGTGACTGTCTCTGTTGCTCTGTGTCTGTGTGACCGTCTCTGTGACTGTCTCTGTTGCTCTGTGTCTGTGTGACCGTCTCTGTGACTGTCTCTGTTGCTCTGTGTCTATGTGACCGTCTCTGTGACTGTCTCTGTTGCTCTGTGTCTGTGTGACTGTCTCTGTGACTGTCTCTGTTGCTCTGTGTCTCTGTGACCGTCTCTGTTGCTCTGTGTCTGTGTGACCGTCTCTGTGACTGTCTCTGTTGCTCTGTGTCTGTGTGACCGTCTCTGTGACTGTCTCTGTTGCTCTGTGTCTGTGTGACTGTCTCTGTGACTGTCTCTGTTGCTCTGTGTCTGTGTGACCGTCTATGTGTCTGTGTGACCGTCTCTGTGACTGTCTCTGTTGCTCTGTGTCTGTGTGACCGTCTCTGTGACTGTCTCTGTTGCTCTGTGTCTCTGTGACCGTCTCTGTTGCTCTGTGTCTGTGTGACCGTCTCTGTGAGGGCCTCCCGCCATCTGACGGCCCGCTGCCCCGCCAGCCGGCGGCCGCCTCTCGCTGCCGGAGCGGCACGTGGTGCACAGTGTGGGCGCCACGCTGCTGGTGCGCGCGCGCGCCGCCGCCGCCTGGACAGACGCCCACCTGGCGGCCACCGCGCTGCTCTCCTGTCGCATCAACCTGCTGCAGGCGGTCGAGGTGAGCGCCGCCGCCGCGCGCCGGCCGACCCTGACCGGCAGCAGGGCCGCTGAGCCCCCTGGTTAGCAGACATTTTGTCATGTGATGCTGTCAAAGCGTACGAAGGCCTTCTATTGTCCGTGATCTGCCTACAGGGTGGAGAGTAATTGCGCGAACATGTATTTTCTTACAATTCGCCCGTCAGTGGAGAGTTTGTTTGAAGGAGGCCATTAGTTGCGTTTGTTGTCGCCTCATTACCAAAAGTGGCCTGACTTTAGACGATGACCTGAAAGGTCTGAACACTTCGAATGGGGGTAGGGGAGGGGGCTGGAGCGGCCGACCCTGTCCCACCTGACAGTGTCACACTGCAGTGTCCCACTGCTGTCCCACTGCTGACGGCGTGCCCGTGTGGTGTGTCCCACTGCTGTCCCACTGCCGTCCCACTGCTGTCCCACTGTCCCACGGCCGCGCCCCGTCCCACTGCTGACTGCGTGCCCGTGTGGTGTGTCCCACTGCTGTCCCACTGCTGTCCCACTGCTGTCGGCGTGCCCGTGTGGTGTGTCCCACTGCTGTCCCACTGTCCCACGGCCGCGCCCCGTCCCACTGCTTTCCCACTGCTGACGGCGTGCCCGTGTGGTGTGTCCCACTGCTGTCCCACTGCTGTCCCACTGTCCCACGGCCGCGCCCCGTCCCACTGCTGTCCCACTGCTGACGGCGTGCCCGTGTGGTGTGTGTACTGCGTGTCCCACTGCTGACAGCGTGCCCGTGTAGTGTGTCCCACTGCTGTCCCACTGCTGTCCCACTGCTGTCCCACTGTTGACGGCGTGCCCGTGTGGTGTGTCCCACTGCCGTCCCACTGCTGTTCCACTGCTGTCCCACTGCTGTCCCACTGCTGACGGCGTGCCCGTGTGGTGTGTCCCACTGCTGTCCCACTGCTGTCCCACTGCTGTCCCACTGTTGACGGCGTGCCCGTGTGGTGTGTCCCACTGCGTGTCCGCCAGCCGGCCGGGCCCGTGCCGCGACACTGCACGGCGTTCCGGGTGTGTCTCACTGTACTGGAGGCGCTGCTGCACTCGGGAAACGTCAGCGACGCATTCCACTTCGCCAAAGGTCAGCGGCAACGGAGGGTGGGAATCGGTGAGAGGGACATACGGTATGTGGGGGTCGGTGAGAGGGGTGGTATGTGGGGGTCGGTGAGAGGGGTGGTATGTGAGGGTCGGTGAGAGGGACATACGGTATGTGGGGGTCGGTGAGAAGGACATACGGTATGTGGGGGTCGGTGAGAGGGACGGTATGTGGGGGTCGGTGAGAGGGACATACGGTATGTGGGGGTCCGTGAGAGGGACATACGGTATGTGGGGGTCGGTGAGAGGGGCGGTATATTGTGGGGGTCGGTGAGAGGGACGGTATGTGGGGGTCGGTGAGAGGGACGGAATGTGGGGATCGGTGAGAGGGGCGGTATGTGGGGGTCGGTGAGAGGGACGGTATGTGGGGGTCGGTGAGAGGGACGGAATGTGGGGGTCGGTGAGAGGGACGGTATGTGGGGGTCGGTGAGAGGGGCGGTATGTGGGGGTCGGTGAGAGGGGCATACGGTATGTGGGGGTCGGTGAGAGGGACATACGATATGTGGGGTTCGGTGAGAGGTACATACGGTATGTGGGGGTCGGTGAGAGGGGCGGTATATTGTGGGGTTCGGTGAGAGGGACGGTATGTGGGGGTCGGTGAGAGGGACGGAATGTGGGGATCGGTGAGAGGGGCGGTATGTGGGGGTCGGTGAGAGGGACGGTATGTGGGGGTCGGTGAGAGGGGCGGTATATTGTGGGGGTCGGTGAGAGGGACGGTATGTGGGGGTCGGTGAGAGGGACGGAATGTGGGGATCGGTGAGAGGGGCGGTATGTGGGGGTCGGTGAGAGGGACGGTATGTGGGGGTCGGTGAGAGGGGCATACGGTACGTGGGGGTCGGTGAGAAGGACATATGGTATGTGGGGGTCGGTGAGAGGGACGGTATGTGGGGGTCGGTGAGAGGGACATACGGTATGTGGGGGTCGGTGAGAGGGACATACGGTATGTGGGGGTCGGTGAGAGGGGCGGAATATTGTGGGGGTCGGTGAGAGGGACGGTATGTGGGGGTCGGTGAGAGGGACGGAATGTGGGGATCGGTGAGAGGGGCGGTATGTGGGGGTCGGTGAGAGGGACGGTATGTGGGGGTCGGTGAGAGGGACGGAATGTGGGGGTCGGTGAGAGGGACGGTATGTGGGGTCGGTGAGAGGGGCGGTATGTGGGGGTCGGTGAGAGGGGCATACGGTATGTGGGGGTCGGTGAGAGGGACATACGATATGTGGGGTTCGGTGAGAGGGACATACGGTATGTGGGGGTCGGTGAGAGGGGCGGTATATTGTGGGGGGTCGGTGAGAGGGACGGTATGTGGGGGTCGGTGAGAGGGACGGAATGTGGGGATCGGTGAGAGGGGCGGTATGTGGGGGTCGGTGAGAGGGACGGTATGTGGGGGTCGGTGAGAGGGGCGGTATATTGTGGGGGTCGGTGAGAGGGACGATATGTGGGGGTCGGTGAGAGGGACGGAATGTGGGGATCGGTGAGAGGGGCGGTATGTGGGGGTCGGTGAGAGGGACGGTATGTGGGGGTCGGTGAGAGGGACGATAGGTGGGGGTCAGTGAGGGGGACGGTATGTGGGGGTCGGTGAGAGGGGCGGTATGTGGGGGTCGGTGAGAGGGACGGTATGTGGGGGTCGGTGAGAGGGACGGAATGTGGGGGTCGGTGAGAGGGGCGGTATGTGGGGGTCGGGGAGAGGGACGGTATGTGGGGGTCGGTGAGAGGGACGGTATGTGGGGGTCGGTGAGAGGGACGGTATGTGGGGGTCGGTAAGAGGGGCGGTATGTGGGGGTCGGTGAGAGGGGCGGTATGTGGGGATCGGTGAGAGGGACGGCATGTGGGGGTCGGTGAGAGGGGCGGTATATTGTGGGGGTCGGTGAGAGGTACGGTATGTGGGGGTCGGTGAGAGGGGCGGTATGTGGGGGTCGGTGAGAGGGGCGGTATGTGGGGGTCGGTGAGAGGGGCGGTATATTGTGGGGGTCGGTGAGAGGTACGGTATGTGGGGGTCGGTGAGAGGGACGGTATGTGGGGGTCGGTGAGAGGGACGGCATGTGGCGGTCGGTGAGAGGGGCGGTATATTGTGGGGGTCGGTGAGAGGTACGGTATGTGGGGGTCGGTGAGAGGGGCGGTATGTGGGGGTCGGTGAGAGGGGCGGTATATTGTGGGGGTCGGTGAGAGGTACGGTATGTGGGGGTCGGTGAGAGGGACGGTATGTGGGGGTCGGTGAGAGGGACGGAATGTGGGGGTCGGTGAGAGGGGCGGTATGTGGGGGTCGGGGAGAGGGACGGTATGTGGGGGTCGGTGAGAGGGACGGTAGGTGGGGGTCGGTGAGAGGGACGGTATGTGGGGGTCGGTGAGAGGGGCGGTATGTGGGGGTCGGTGAGAGGGGCGGTATGTGGGGATCGGTGAGAGGGACGGCATGTGGGGGTCGGTGAGAGGGGCGGTATATTGTGGGGGTCGGTGAGAGGGGCGGTATGTGGGGGTCGGTGAGAGGGGCGGTATATTGTGGGGGTCGGTGAGAGGTACGGTATGTGGGGGTCGGTGAGAGGGACGGTATGTGGGGGTCGGTGAGAGGGACGGTATGTGGGGGTCGGTGAGAGGGACGGTATGTGGGGGTCGGTGAAGAGGGGCGGTAGGTGGGGGTCGGTGAGAGGGGCGGTATGTGGGGTGGGTAAGAGGGGCGGTATGTGGGGGTCGGTGAGAGGGACGGTATGTGGGGAGCGGTGAGAGGGACGGTATGTGGGGGTCGGTGAGAGGTAGTATGCAGGACACCGTGCATGCCAGATTTGTGAGCCAGCGAACTAACAATGCATGCGCGCTGACAGGCTTTCGTACGATTACGATTTAATATTGCAACAAACATACTTGAGATGGGATAGCTCACTTGACACTTCTTTCCCGCTTACATCATTCCTTTCTTTTCATGTTGATGTTTTCTTTTCATGTTGAGCGCGCTTATTTACAGTTAAGTGTGTGTGTGTGGGGGGGGGGGGGGTAACCACATTAATCCTATCTGGCCTTTAACTTATATCTGTTGTTTTTGAAGGGACCACGTGTTAGAGATATCCACGTTTGATTTACTACGATCGTCTTGCTGCTATGTTGCGATCGTCTTGCTGCTATGTTGTCTGTCTTCTTTCCCCGTTGATTTCGATCCATTTGGTGCTGGTTAAAGGGACCCTCCCAACTCCAAAAAAGTCAATGAATTGGCATGAAAGTGATGTCGCTCGGTTCAGAAAGAGCGAAAACCAATATCTACCAAATTTCATCGAAAAATATTCACCGGTTTTTAAGATATTAGACTTTTACTTTTGTTTTTTTTTGGGGGGATCTCCGCTGTTCCTAGCGACTTTTTTTAAAAGTGCGGCATTTATTGCGCGCAAAGCAGCATGTACCACCGCGTGCTACAAAACGTTTTAGTCAAACATTTAAAAATCGTTAGATATCTGCGATGACGTCACACATTCAGAGGGGTATTCCTATGCATTAGCCCCTCTGAATCAAAATGCTGCAATTTTGAAATTCAATATTTCCGATTTAACCCTCGCCGGCCGAGGGGGGGGGGGCGGGTGCCGCCCCCCCATAGGGTTTTTTCGCGATAGCTCCAAACACGCTGGCGATAGAGAGCTGAAACTTGGCATACGTGACCTGTGATCCAAGCCGCATCTTTTGACACCAACCGCATTTTTGGGTCAGGTCAGGTCACTGACCTATGACGTCATAAGTGAACCTCTGCACGGTCTTCAGATGTCGCAACTTCGCAACGCCCTCACTGCCAGAGGAGATGTCACAGGGAAATGAAACTTGCAGGATCTAGTATCCATTATGAGTCTCACAACTTGTATATCTGGGATTTTTCCTAAAGGTCATATGAGGTCAGGTCATTTTCGTGACCTCACCATTATAAGTCAATGGGGAAAAATTCAAACTGCTATTCTGGCGCCGGGAACGATCTCCAACTATCTCAAGCACACAGAATCGTGATTTGATGCACTCCTTGCAAGGTTAGATGCGTCACTTTTGCAATGTTGACCTTCCGTGACGTCATTTATGACGTCATCAAGGTCATATTAGTTTTTCGTCAATAACTCCCGATCAAATTGAGCTAGCGAGTCGGGAAAGCCACCAATGGACTCAGGAAGACCTGCCGAATCGAATGATATGCGACATGACCTCTTTCGACCAACTTCGTGACCTGGGGGTGCTGACCTGACCTTGACCTGAGGTCAACACCCTAAGTTGACCTGACCCGAACAAAAAGTATATCATTCGACGCGCCTGAGCAAGGCGAACACGATGCTGCCCAAATCGCGGCTCTGCGGCCATTTTTTGCGAAGTTATTCACCAAAAACTGAACCGTACCCTGGGGCACTTGACCTGACCTCAGAGGTCACCGGTTGACCTTGGACCTTAAAATCGGGTACCAATCTCTGCGTCTCGTAACGGCGCACACGCTCGTTTTTTCCGCGACGCGCTAGCTCCACCAGGGGCGAAACGGCGAGGGGGGGGGGTCGTACCCGCCCCCCCCCCCCCCTCGGCCGGCGCGTATGTAGAAAACCAATAGGTCCGGCGAGGGTTAAGGCATTTCTCGATGTTGTGAGTGCCGAAACCGGTAATTGTGAGCCAGGGACCCCATTTTGGCTATCTCAACTCAAATCTAATGTTAAGGTGGGAGGGTCCCTTTAAATCTATGATCATTCTAGTTGCTGGCATTGGCCTTGACCTATTGAGTTGAGCCGCTTCCAGTGCACGGGTAACCGGAGACACAGGCTTAGCGACGGGCAGTTGTCAATGGTGTGAGGAGCTGGCCGGTCGCGGTCGACAGGCAGTCAGGCCGGGCGGCGGCGCCGGTCCGTCCCGGCCGCTGTGACGGTGCCGTCGGGACTCTGCCGGCAGGTTACGGGTTTTTCCCGACGACGCGCCGCTCGCAGCTGTCCACACTGCTGCCGGTGCTGAGCGAGCTGGTGCGCCGGCTGTCGGCCGCCGGCCTGGTGCCGGCCGCCGTCAGCCTACTCGACTGGCTGGCAGAGCGGTCTGAGCGCGACAGACAGCTCTTCGACGACGACTACCGGCTGCTCGTGGGTGAGCGCCGCGCCCTCCCAGACACACGGCATGCGGGCAGGCCGAGCACTCAACGGGTCCCCACTGCCCAATAGTACTGTAACGCCTGTAACAACTGGGGCCGCAGGGGACTCCAAGTCAGAAGTTGGGGCTGATGGCATAGTTTCAAAGGCTAACCGTTTTTTTTTAAGGACTAGAGAAACATTTGAACTATTTGCGGTCTGTTTATGGTTGCTCGTTTGTTAAGTCCCTCAGTTAGCTGCTTTTCGTGCGAGCGGCCGCGGCGGTCCGAGCGTGTGGTGACAGTGCGCTGCGCGGCGGCAGACTTTGAGCGTCTGGTGAACGTGGCGCTGCTGGCGGCGCTGCGGGCCGGCCGCCCGGAGGTGGCGCTGCGCCTGCACACACTGGCCGTGGACCAGGGCGTCTGTCTGTCCACCGAGAGCCTGCGCCAGACGCTGCACCTGCGCCTCGACCGGCGCCACTTCAGCCACGTGCGCGACCTCTACAACCTGGGTATCGCCATCGGCGTCTACCCGCACCAGAAGGTGGGTCGGCGCCGACTGGCCCAGCCGGCGTCGCGCAAACGGCTCTGTGCTCAATATGCGCACACTGCCAGCTGAATACGACTCTCGAGTCTCGACTCCGTGCTAACCTCAGAATAAGCCGTCATTTTGTTTTCAGCTCGTCTTTGCCGTTTCTGCGCTCAGCGCGGTCGGACTGGTGACCTTTAAAAAGGCCATCCCACCTTTACATTAGTTTTGTGTTGAGATAGCCAAATTGGGGTCCCTGGCCTGCACTTACCGGTTTGTACACTCACAACATGGAGAAAGGCTTTACTTAGGAGATAATTAATTTCAAACTTGCAGTTTTCGGATTCTAAGGGGCTAATGCATTGGAATGCCCCCTTTGAATTCGCGACGGCAGCGGAGATCTAACGATTTTTAAATGTTGTACTAAAACCATCGCCAAAACGTGTTGATATATAGTGCTTTGCGCGCAACATCTGCCGCATTTTTAGGATGCCAAATTATTGCTTCCAAATGACGTCGTAGGAACTGCGGGGGTCCCAAAAAGTAAAAAAAGTATAATATCTCGAAAAACAGTGAATATTTTTCGGCGAAATTTGGTAAATATTCATTTTTGATCTTTGTGAACCACGGGACATCGCTTTTATGTCATTTCATTTGCTCTTTTTTAAGGCGGGATGGTCCCTTTAACGAGGGCGTGTGACCAGGGCCGGGGGCCGGGGCAGTGCCGGCCGCACCGGGCACGTGGAGGCTGTACACGCCGTGACCCATGTGGCTGCCGAGTGCACGGCAGGCGGCCGGCTGACGCGCCGCCGCGCCGCTCGCTGCAGGTGTTCAGCCCGCTGCAGGTGCGTCTGCCGTGCTGGCTCTCGCAAGAGGAGATGGTCGTGGCACTCGAGGAGTACGTGCGCTCGGTGGTGGCCGACTTTGGCGGCGTGCCGCCCGTGCAGCCGCTCACGGTGCTGCTGTTGGCCGAGGGCGGGCCGCCGGCACCGCTCGGCAGACCGGTGAGCCACCGCTGGTCCGCTCCCCCCGCACTCACATCACCCAAACACCCTCCGCCGGCCGGTGTGCGACTAGCTGACGTCCTGCCGTGTTGTGCCGCCCACTGACGGTCGGCTGTGTTGTGCTGTGCCACCCATTGACGGTCCACTGTGTTGTGCCGTGTTGTGCCGCCCACTGACGGTCGGCTGTGTTGTGCCGCCCACTGACGGGGTCCACTGTGTACTGCCGCCCACTGACGGGGTCCACTGTGTAATGCCGCCCACTGACGGGGTCCACTGTGTAATGCCGCCCACTGACGGGGTCCACTGTTTTGTGCCGTCCACTGACGGTCGGCTGTGTTGTGCCGCCCACTGACGGTTCACTGTGTAATGCCGCCCACTGACGGTCCACTGTGTTGTACCGCCCACTGACGGTCCACTGTGTAATGCCGCCCACCGACGGTCGGCTGTGTTGTGCCGTGTTGTGCCGCCCACCGACGGTCGGCTGTGTTGTGCCGTGTTGTGCCGCCCACTGACGGTCGGCTGTGTTGTGCCGCCCACCGACGGTCGGCTGTGTTGTGCCGCCCACTGACTGTCGGCTGTATTGTGCCGTGTTGTGCCGCCCACCGACGGTCGGCTGTGTTATACCGCCAGCTGCTGCCGGAGGACGCCGGTGTGCGGCTGCAGCAGGCGTGCTCGCTGCTGGTGCCGCCGCTGCGGCTGCAGCCGGGCGGCGGGCCGCTGCAGTTCCTCGTCACGGCCGAGTCGCTGGTGGACAAACTGATGACGCAGGCGGCCAGCCAGCGGGGCCGCGTGGCGTCCGCGCCGGGCCTAGTGCGCGTCTGGGACGCGCCGCCGGGACGCTGAGTGCCGGCCGGGCGCGCCTCACGCCCGGCTGGCCAGCCGAGTTCGATACGGCGCTGTCCTCTGAGGGACGGACGGACCGCGGCGAGGCGGGGGCCGCTGAGTGCCCAGCGCGCCTCACGCCCGGCTCACCGGCCGAGAGTGGTACGCCGCTGTCCTCTGAGGGACGGACGGACCGCGGGGAGGCGGCGGCAGGGAGTGACAGTGCGAGGGAGTGGGTGTTTGAGTGGGTGTGGCAGTGACTTGGTGACGGCGTGAGTGTGAGTGATTCAGTAAGTGCGATGGAGATCGGGTAAATGAGTGAGTGAGTGGGTGACTTAGTGTGGGTGAGTGAGTGAGTGAGTGAGTGAGTGGACTGGGCGGGCTGTGGTCGGAGAGTGACTGGACTGGAAGTGCCCAGTGGGCGGGCTGTGGCCGGAGAGTGACTGGAAGTGCCCAGTGGGCGGGCTGTGATCGGAGGGTGACTGGAAGTGCCCAGTGGGCGGGCTGTGGTCGGAGGGTGACTGGAAGTGACCAGTGGACGTGCCCAGTGGACGGGCTGAGGTCGGAGGGTGACTGGAAGTGCCCAGTGGCCGGGCTGTGGTCGGAGGGTGACTGGAAGTGCCCAGTGGGCGGGCTGTGGTCGGAGGGTGACTGGAAGTGACCAGTGGACGTGCCCAGTGGGCGGGCTGTGGTCGGAGGGTGACTGGAATTGCCCAGTGGACGGTTACCGTTGCGGCAGTGAGGCAGGTCGGGGACGCCGGCCGTCCGGGCGAGCCCGCCCGCTGCGCTGCGGACCGGCAGCGGCCGGTGGGCTCTCAGGGAGTATACCGATTCTCAGGGCCACCTCCGCAGGCTGCCAGCTCTGAACCGGACCGAGTTACGGCCGCGGCTATCATACCGTGGGACACTTCCACTAGCTGCCTGCGGTATCTAGTCCAGCTCTGCAGTGTGTGACTGGTTTGTCAGTAACAATGGCCGTTGTTAATTCATTCAGATTTCTAATTAGACATAACAGCTGTGGTGAAATGCTTCTGATGATTGATCGTATCGTTATCGGAAAACATTTTACCGGAAAATGATTTCTTACGTTTGTACGAATAATAAACTACGTTTCGTTTCTTTATTGTTTGTTTTGTGGGATGTTAAATCCTTATGACATTTTTCCAAAACGTAATAGCTTGGAAATGAATAACCCGGCGCTAGTTCTTATTAAAATTCTGTCGCATCACTTCTTTGAGTCGATGCATCAAGCTGTAGCCCGAAGGTGTGCCTTGTTTAGTGTGCTATTGCTGGAAAAACGATAAAAACGGCTGGGAAAAGGCAGGCAATCACAGAATTGGTTACAGATAGCCTTATCCATCCATGGTCTGAGATTGGTGTGGGCCAAGAGGCAAGAATATGGTCGGGGTGGTGGGTGAAATATCGAAGGATCAACTTCAACGGTGGAGGTAATTGAGACGATGAAGTAAATATGGCATTCCTCAATGGAGGCGCTATTGGCGCAAGTCTGACGAAAGAGACGAAAAGATGCCGAAACAGAAAAGCTGTGGAGATATACTGCCTTGCTGTGGATTGTGGAACCGTGAACTCCTTAGAAGTTAGAACCAAGATTCCTATGTTAGAACCAGAGTTGAACCAGAGTATGTTAGAACTTGGTTAAAACCAAGTTAAAACCAAGGGTAGAACTCGGTGGAGCCGAAGCGGCATATAGGTAGGTATTGGTGGTATATTGAGTTCATTGAACTCTATAATGTTACATATATGATTGATAATGTTACTATAATGATTGAGTTACATATTGGCTATAGCCTTGCGTGGAGCATGGAAATACAGACGTAGAGGGCCCGGGTCTTACCCAAGATTCAAGATTTGTGTTTTCATGCAAGTTTGGTCATTTTTAAGTACCTATTAAAATTCAATGGCAAATTGTGAGTTCAGATCTTCAAACTCTCAGCTTCATTTGGTACCCATCTGCTTTTCAAGGCATGTGTCATTTGACATGCTTAGCTTGCATGTATATAACATCTGACATTGTATTTCTGCAGGATTTATTGCAGGAAAACCATGGCACATCAGGCTTTTCTTACCGAATATTTGGACATGCCGCCTGTGACCAGAGTTTACACCACGGCTTGCGTGCTCACAACGCTGGCTGTTGTAAGTTAATTTCTATTGGACTTTACTGTCTGAAATCATGCAACGTTTTTTGTTCATTGGCTTTATACAATTTATGGAATTGCTAAACACAACCAGCAAAGGCGTCGTTAAATCATATATCATTCATCCTGCCACTCTTTTTCTATAGTTGCTACTCTCATTTTATATTTACATGTAGGGGGGAGAAGTCATATTGGTCCACGGGGGCAGGTGAGGTGTCTAAGCTTTCTCGCAGACCATTTTTCTGATTTTCTCTATTTTCTTATGCAAAACAGTCTATTTCGACCTTTGCTAGTGTCATGGTTTATCTTAGAGATAGTGATTCAACTAATTAGCATTGTTAATTGTTCGTTTAATGGCAGTTTTTTAAGCTTATCACCACTGTGGCTTCGCTGTCACCGCCATTTTTCAAGCTCATGAAAAATGTGTTCCATTCGTAATTGCACCCACCCTATTTGTGCCCTATTCTTCAACCCAGATAAACAGCATCTGGTGGTTGGGAGACATTTCATTGAACACTTTGATCATTAGAGCTCTCACCTTACCATTACCTCAGCCTTCACAGCATAAATGGTTAATGGGCTGACACGTTCAAATAGGCTACTTAGTTAGGTGGCAAACTGTTGTTTTTAATAGGGCGTTTTTACATGAGAGGCATGGGCGCTTTTTGATGGGGGAGTCCGCAAATGGGCCCTTTGTGGGTGTGTCGGAAAGCTTTTCTCTAGTTAATTTTTTGGGTGTGATACAAATTGGGAGCTGTTATTTGATGCCAAAATAACTGAGGTACAATTTGAGATATCATCAAGCATGACAGCAGACAGCTGGTCAACTTTAGCCGCAATAGGCCGATATCCTTAAGGCGGCGCAATGTGACTTCTCTCCCCTACATGGGGTAGCAAGGTTCGAAACTTAACAGCGTGCCTATTTTGACAGATAGACTTTAGAAGGTAAACATTGTATCGATTTCAGGGGGTGCAACGTTACTGACGACTAGTTTAGGTAGGACATGACCCAGTGTGGGAACCCGCCATGCACTCATTTATTTTACGTAAGATATGTCTTCATGAATAGGTACCTACTTAATGGAAATAAATAACGTTGGAATTCATTTAAGACAATCAATATAATTTATCTAATTCAAATTCATGTTAGGCAGAGCAGAGGCCTTCAATAAGTTCCAGGACCAAAAGCCTCAATGGACCAGAGCGATTGGTGATGGTTCTTATCTGACATAATCTTTTTTTTCAGCAACTTGATTTGGTCTCTCCATTTCAACTGTACTTCAACCCTCGCCTTATTGTATCAAAATATCAGGTATGAAGGATGGCATAGCTGGCGTTCTGAACAGTAGGTACCAAATTTGTAACGCATAAACCGTGCCGGGCGGGTGCTCGGCGCCAACCGCGCCGAGCGGGGGTATTTGAACACCCCTACCCTTCTAACTCGGCCCCTGAGCCATGCAGTGACACGCGGTAAGCGGCATTTGATAGAGCGTAAAAATCATAACCAATGTACTTTGGTTATATTTTTTTAAATCAGGTCAAAGGTCAGGTCAGCATAGGTAATCAAGGTCAACTTTTGTCAATTTCAACATTTTTTTTACACGTCGCGCATAACTCGAAGCCAATAGAGCTATAGCGCCGCGGAGGAGCGCGCCGCATTCGATAGCTCGTTTAACCCGCGCCCTGCTGGGGGGGTGTTTGAACACCCCCCCCCCCTGTGGTTTTTCGCGAATATCTCAAAAACGGCGGCGCGGAGCGCCGCCGTTTTTGGTACACCTTATCATACATCAATTCTACACATGTTGTGAAAATTTCAGACCAAGGTCATTCAAGGTCAGGTCACCAGGTCACTCGAAGTGACCTCACCTCATAAAAAGTTTCAATGTCTGTCATAGCTGCACCGAGTGACCGATCGCTTTGAAACTTTCAGCGATTGCTAAGAGCATTAGCATGTACAAAATGTTTATCTCAGAATTTTGATATCGATGACCTAAGGTCAGGTCAATTTTGCGACCTCACCATTATAAGTCAATGGGAGAAAATTGAAATGCGCCTGTTTTGGACGAAAGACATTATAAACACTCCCAAACACTGAATTACAAGTGGTTTAGACACACTGAACATGAAAATGGTGTCTGTGACCCCTGTTTATGCCCTGAGGTCATCTTAGGTCACGAATGGTATCTAACAGTTTTTCGCAAATAACTTTTGATAGAGGCATGCTAGAGCGATGAAAACGCCTTAGATGTGTTCAGCTCGACGATACGGATCGACTGATATGCAACATGACCCTTTCCGGTCAGGTCATGACCTTGACCTGAGGTCAAATTTTCAAGTTGACCGTTCAAGGTCAAATTATAGTTCGTTCGATGCGTCTTGACGAGAGGAACACGATGCCGGTAAAAGTAAGCTCGTACAATGCTTGGGTCAAAAGTTATTGCAGAAAAACTGTTTCCGAAAAAATCGGCTATTTTTGCAGTTTTTGCCCCCTGCAGGCAAAACCGTTGACGTTAGGTCAAATCTGAGAAAATTACTCAGAAAGGGCGTTAATAGGGCTATCGAATGCGCTTTTCCGCGGCGCTGTAGCTCTATTGGTTCCCGAGTTATGCGTTGGCTTCTTGGAAATTTTCGACATTCGACCTGGAAATCGGCGAAAATTTGCCTTCAATGACCTCTGGTGACCTGACCTTTGACCTGACCAAAAAATTGACCGAAGTGATTTCCTCATTATTTTTGACGCTCTTTCGAACGCCGCCTTCCGCGTATCGCTACGTGGCCCAGGAGCCGAGTTAGAAGGGGAGGGGGGGGGTGTTCAAACACCCCCCCCCCCAGCAGGGCGTGGAAATCCAGGACCCCCAGCCGGGCGCGGGTTAACCTTCGCCCGTATGGGGGAGGGGTCGAACGGACCCCCTTGTTTTTTTCGCAAATAACTCGCGTATAAAGCGGCCGACCGCGACGAAGCTTTCAGTACCCTCGCGTTAATAAATTTTATACCAACCCTGAAAAGTAATGACGCTGAACAAAATGGCCTTTGCCCTTTGGCCTGTGGCCTGTTTCTCGAGACAATGTTTTGCCGGACTCGCGATTCGGGGTATATCAGCTCCACGAATCGGTACTAACTCTAACTCAGTGGAGTTAGTACCGATTCGGGGTACTAACTCCACTGAGGTAAGGTCACTTGACGTGACCAGACCTTGGGTGACCCGGTTTTGAAACTTTGGGAACATGTGCAGAAATGATCGACATCTTTTAACAGAAAGATGGAATGTTTGGACCGAAAGAAATCCAACCATTTTTGAAGTAGCTGCGAAAAACCGCAGGGGGTGTTGGATGATGCCACGCCCGGCCGGCCCGGTACGAGGTAATCATGTGCCATTAGGTAGCCATCATAGTTGTTCGTTTCCTCTGACACTAGGCTTACCGTATTCCATATTCCATGTAATTTATTCGTTTGCTTTGTTGCCTACGTTTGGTTGAGCTTAGATATCAATCATCATAATCATGACATGAAGCCAACTTTTGCTTACTGATATCAGTCTTATGCATACATATATCTAACCTACTGTAGCGCTCCCTGTTGGTCCGTTCTGACCTGTCACGCTCACCTCACTGTGGGTCAGTTCTGGCGACTCATCACGACGTTCCTTTTCTTCGGTCCGGTGGGCTTCACGTTCCTGTTCAACCTGATCTTCACGTACCGCTACTGCCGCGACCTGGAGGACGGCTCGTTCCGCGGCCGCACCGGCGACTTCGTCGTCATGTTCGTGTTCGGCGCCGGCTGCATGGTGCTGAGCGCGCTGGCCGTCAACCTGCTCTTCCTCGGACAGGCCTTCACCATCATGCTCGTCTACGTGTGGAGCAGGAGGAACCCCTTCGTCAGGATGAACTTCTTCGGGCTGATGAACTTCCAGGTGAGCCGGCCTCCGATGGGGGCGGGCCGACAGTGTCGCGGCGGGGGACGGCTGCCGACAGCTGACGGGTCAAACCCACCCCTGGGAGTGGATCAAGGTGCTGACCGACGACGCGGCGCTGCCCATCAACTCCCCAATGACCAGCGGCGCGGTTCATGCGCCCCTTCTTTTGATTTGTATGCTTTGTTTTCTCTGTGAGTTGTGACCTCTTTCCTTCCTCTATGCAGCTTTAATTGGAAGATATTTACATCTTAAGCGCTCATTATTTTACTGCACGTAGTGGTTGTAACGAGTAAGGCTTCTTTTGCGCAACGAACGGGAGCTCAATATTGGGCCCTTCACCTCCGCACGTGCAAGCAGGTACCCCAAATGACTTGTGCTGGCCAACCTGTAATCGGTCCCTCCCGGGACCGCTGACGTCCCTGACGCCGCGCCCCGGGGACCGCTGACGTCCGGACCGGGGACCGCTGACGTCACTCCCCGGGGACCGCTGACGTCATTCCCCGGGGACCGCTGACGCCGCGGCCCGGGGACCGCTGACGCCGCGCCCCGGCCGCCGGCAGGCGCCGTACCTGCCGTGGGTGCTGCTGGGCTTCTCGCTGCTGCTCGGCAACTCTGTGTCGGTCGATATGGTGGGCATCGCCGTCGGACACGGCTACTTCTTCCTGGAGGACGTGTTCCCCAACCAGCCGGGCGGCTTCCGCTCGCTACAGGCGCCCCGCTGGCTGTGAGTAGTGGGCCGGCGAGGGGCCGCTGGCTGTGAGCAGTGGGACGGTTTGGCTTGTGCGGTTTCTGATAAAATTGGTGTGCACAACGAACGCATGGCGGTACAAAGCCATGAAGCATGCTAGAAGAGCGTGCGTTTGGACGGGATGTTTTCCGCGTGGAATTTCCACCCCGAGGAAATCCTCAATTGGGCAATGCGAAAGGCGAGCAATCCCAAGGGATACCGCGAAACGCCGAGACATGCCGAGAGCGTGTCGCTCGTAGTTCAGGATAGGTGCTGCCATGGAAACGATGTACGGCTCTCCAGGTATTAAGTGGTTGGTTGCCAGCATCATAATAATCAATCTACATTGATAATACGTCTAATGGCTGTTGAAAACCACTGCCGAAATGTGTGCACGAACCCTCTTCTCATTTCTATTGAGACATTTTACAGGAGTGTCTGCCATTTAAAGTTATTACACCAAAAGCACATAGGCTAACCAACCACTCTTTTGCTGGAGGGCCGTATAGTCGGTCAAATATGTATCTTTCCCGGCCGCCAAGTGGCGCTACGGTCTGGATTCGATAGTTGGCTGAGCCCACACCCCAGCTGCCCTGGCGGCTCTGGCGGCCCTGTGACGTCACGCGCGGGGGGCGGAGCTACACAGCGGCCGGCTGGAGAGTGACCGCAGACCAGCACTGGACGGCCTCGCCGCCGGGTGCTCCGGCGGGTCTGGCCGGGAGAGGCGAGCAAGCGGATGCGTTAGGAATCTAACGAATGTGAGGGCAGCGCGATGGTCTAATGATGGCTGTGCTTTCATGCGCCGTGTAAATTGTAGACTGAGTGCTATGAGCTATCAAAGGATTATCTGGTGTTTCAACAGGGGTCGCTGACATAAAAATTAAGATGGTTGCTCTTGATACGATCGAATGCTTGGTGATATGATGATTAGCGCAAGAGAAATATTTAATCGAATTATGACCGGTTATTTTTTGATAAAGCAAAAACTTTCATTTTTTGGCATTAACGGGAAAGCGTTAAGCCATATCTACTGAAAATCTTAACCTGCGCCGGGCCGGGGGGGGGCGATTTGCGCCCCCCCCCCAGGTTTTTCGCAGATAGCCGAAAAACGGCGGCGTGCAGCGCCACCAAATTTTGCATACCTGTTTTTCCATCTATTGCGCATACTGTGTGCGAATTTTGACCTTATATGACTTAAGGTCAGGTCAACAGGTCGGTTTGAGTGACCTAACGTCACAAAAAGTTTGAACTTGCACCAAAGCTACAACTGTTGACCGATCGATATGAAACTTTCAGGAGTTAGTAAGGGTGACAATATCCACAAAATGTATGTCTCGGATTTTTTTATCTATGACCTGAGGTCAGGTCAATCTCACAACCTCCCCATTATAAGTCAATGGGATAAATTTCAACTTCATCTGAATGCCACCCGATCCACACAATATATTCAGGATCATGGTGTTGCAGGTCCCTGGTCCCGGCATCTCAAACCTAGAGCGACTACACTCAAGTTCAAGCTAACGGTCTCCACTCTCCAATTCAGATACCTATCGAAACCTTTCCGCGACCCGGTGCTGTGGCTCAATCAGTGGGCCAGCTGGCCGCAGACCATACCCGCAGGGCATGAACCTTTGACCATATTAGGTCAACACGCCGTGGCCCCAGCCCGCTCGCCAGGTCCGCGCTCATTGGCCGACGCGGCAACCGCACAACCTGTCCCCTCCCCTCCGTAGTACTCGCAGCGGCCGGCGGATTCAGCCAAGTTACCGACCTGCCCAGCGAGGGGAGGGCCGGCCGGGAAAGATACATATTTGACCGACTATACATCTATGATGATCTATGATGTTAATGATGAATTATATGAATCAATATCTTCTATTGGGATGTATATTATGCTGTTAAAACTGATGGAGTGGTTTTCATGATTGTTTCCGTTTTGCTGTGATTTTATGGAAGACGCAGAGTAAATAATTTGAGTTGGGAATTGGTATTTATGAATAAATTATTAAACAAAAAATAATGGTCAAGAGAAAAATACATATTTTTTCATCAATTTAAATGTAAACGCACAGCATGCTATGGCTGCACCAGTTTCCGCACGCTCCGCGAAAAGTCTGCCTGAACGGCCCGGTGAATATTTCCATATGAAGGAAAAGCGGCTGTCCGAACGCACGGACAAGTTTCAGTTTACATTCAGTCGGTCGCTAGCTCGAGCTCTCGTGAACTTAATAGTTACACATAATGTGTGGTTCGGTGCAGATAGTGGTAACGTAACGCTTTGCACTGCATTCAGCCCGCAGTCGGCAGCTGGCTGGGTCGTGTTGCCGAGTCGGGCGGTGACCTGCAGCCCCCTGTACCCAGGCGATTGCTGGTCGAGGCAGAGCCGGACGCGGCCGACTACGCGCCACCGCCGGAGGACCCGAGACCTGCGCCGGGCCCCGCGGGGCAGCAGCCGGACCCCTGCGCCGGGCCCCGCGGGGCAACAGCCGGACGCCGCGGGGCAGCAGCCGGGCCCCGCGGGGCAGCAGCCGGACGCCGCGGGGCAGCAGCCGGCACGGTGAGCGGCGGCGGCCGGGCTCGCGGGGGGCAGCCAGCCGCCCGCTGCTCGATCTAATCAGGGTAATATCGTTCACTGCTGGAACTGTGAGCCTCGCTGGGTGAGCGGTGAGTTTCGCCGAGCGCCCGGCGAGCTGGTGAGCTTAGCGCCGGCGAGTCGCACCAGCCGGGCGGCGCGACACACGGCGATGTGATTGGCGCTCAGTGCGCCGCCTGTTATTTATTGTCGAGCGGACTGCAGAATATACGAATGTGTACACGGTCGAGCCGCCGAGTGGTGGGCGCGCCCGTCCCCGGGCCGGCCCGACCGCGCCGCCTCTCTAATATCACTAGGGCGACTACGCGCGGCGCCGGCGGCCCAGACCGGTGCCGCCCGGCCGCCGGCGCCGACTGACCTGGCTGCCACACGGCGCCACCCACACACGCCTCAATACTGGAAAATCGCCTAGCAAACCGAGCACACGGACCACGCTGCCGCCGCACTCTCTCCACACTGCCATTCGGTCATCACGCACGCACACGTACAAAACGGCCCAACAAAAATAACGACCTAGGGAGCGTCGGAGGGGCGCCGCAGCCACCCGCTCGCGCCGCACGGGCCTCTCTAGACAGGCGCACTATGTACAGAGCGGCTGACGCACGCGGCGGCAGCGCCCATGCACGCCCTACCGGTAAGTAGCGAGATTGCACTGGAGCAAGGCACGGCCGCCGCCGCCGCCGCCGCCACTAGGATATCACCGTGGCCAGGATCACCGTGATGTCGTCCGGCTTCCCGCCTGGAACGGCAGAGTGTCGGGTCAGAGGGGGGCAGACCCGAGGGTGCCGGGCCACAGATACGGCAACAACACATCAACAATATGCATGCCTAATGACGTGCTACAAAATGTGGTATGTGTTGTGGCTTTTTCGGGTAACGCCGCCGTTTTCCGTAGTGTTGGTGATGACGTCATTGCTACGCTATTCGACAGACGACTTCAGGCATTATGAGTAAAGGCAAGTCCAGGGTGGTCTGAATCTGCAACAAATCCGAAACCCCAGCCCATCCGTCTGGAGCCCTGCACATTAGGGTTGTTAAAAAAAAACGAATTTTGGAAAAGTATATGGGCTCATGGCTCATGAGGTGCGGTATTCTTTTCTGAGTCCAATGATACCCTTTTTTCCGAAAAGTATTACTGCTAGGCGCTGCTCAAACGGCTTAAAGAGGACCATGTTACGCCCGCCGACCGGCCGGTGTCAATAAGGGCGAGAATTCGACGCCGCACGGCGGCGGCAGCGCCTTATCGGCACCGCGCGCCACGACATCTGCCGGGCGGCCGGCTGGGCGGTGGGAAGTTATAAGTGCGTGGTCTTATTGCACACGATCGGGGTGAGCTATCCCATGTTTTCGGGGCGGAAAGTTTCAGTGCAGCATCGGTGCGTCTGCCACGGTGGTCTGTGTCGATGGTATAGAAAATAACTCAAGCAGAGCTCAGAAAAGAATGAATGATTCCGGGTAGTTGCCTCGAAATAATACGTTTCAAGAATACAGCTGCCTTCTTAACGTACTGTATCACTTGTTAATTCTTCAAAAAGCAAGCTCTGAGCAATAACAGACTTCTTTGCATTGCTGTTGACAATTTAAGTTGCTTTTGGACGGTGGCTCGCAGCCCCAATATGCTGCCGCGTAACTCTATTCCAACGACGAAACGGCAACTTAGCGAGAATCGAAAATTTAACGAAGTAGGTACAACAGGAGCTGGCAAGGCTCCTGCATTGGTCTATCCGTCATGAGTGACAAACCGGGGTAATGTGTCACGTCAGGGCAGAGCTGTGTTCTATGCCGGGTCTGGATTCGGGTCTTGGTCGGCATCGGTGGGCACGGCCGCCCTGGCCGGACTGCCGGCGTCGCTTATGCTCGAAGGATTGGATAAACGGCGCTTGATTTATATGAGTAGGTACTCCGGCTAATGTCTCTACTCATGTCTCACTTCGTCACACTGTCAGGGTGGCCACTCTGTCATTCCCAGACATGTTATGCTTTCTTTCGACCCGCTAATCTAAGTTACACCTGGCGTCGATTCTGTTGCCCCAGCATCTGACATCAACGTATCTGAATAATGACATTGGTGACGCATATGCTCGTCAAAGCCACCCCCAAACTTGGGCCGATGACTGTCGGGTCTCCTCCATATTCTGTCCTTGTGCATACTGCATTGCCAGCCCCTGCTGTACGTATATCGTGAATTTTCGATTCTCGCGAAGTTGCCGTTTCGCCGTTGGAATAAAGTTGCGCGGCAGCATATTGGGGGTGCGAGCCACCGTCAAAAACTAACGTAAATTGTCAACAGCAACGCAAAGAGGTGTGTTATTGCTCAGAGTTTGCTTTTTGAAGAATTAACAAGTGATACAGTACGTAAAGAAGGCAGCTGTATTCTGGAAACGGATTGTTTCGAGGCAACTACCCGGAATCATTCATTCTTTTCTGAGCTCTGCTTGAGTTATTTTCTATGCCATCGACACAGACCACCGTGGCAGACGCACCGATGCTGCACTGAAACTTTCCGCCCCGAAAACATGGGATAGCTCACCCCGATCGTGTGCAATAAGACCACGCACTTATAACTTCCCACCGCCCAGCCGGCCGCCCGGCAGATGTCGTGGCGCGCGGTGCCGATAAGGCGCTGCCGCCGCCGTGCGGCGTCGAACTCTCGCCCTTATTGACACCGGTCGGTCGGCGGGCGTAACATGGTCCTCTTTAAGCCGTTTGAGGAGCCCCTAACAGTTAATACTTTTCAGTAAAAAGGGCATCATTGGTCTCAGAAAAGAATACCGCACCACATGAGCCATGAGCCCATATACTTTTCCAAAATTCGTTTTTTTTTTAACAACCCTACTGCACATTACCTGAAGCCACTGTTACAGGCTGAATGATACGGTATTAACGGTACATAAACAACAATCACGGAGACTGGGGGGGGGGGGGGGCGGAGAGCTGGCGGTCATAAGAGCAGAACGCGTCCACCGTGGGCAGCAGCTACCGAATACCAATTCAGAAGGACAGATCTGGAGATATAAGTGGAGACGGGGCGAGTCAAGGCAGAGCGGACGAATAACAGAAATGGCTGAAGGCGACAGCAGAGTGACGGTGACGATGGACGTGTCAAAGTGGTAACCAGACGTGCGCATGGATCCGGGATCTGATCCCACGGATCCTGATCTCGGATCAGACGGGACCACAGATCCAGCTTTCTAATTTAGCGAGAGATCCGTATAGATCACAGATCCGAGTCTCATTTTTGCTTGAGATTCAGTGAGATCATAGATCCTCACTTATTTTTTGCCAACACAAAAAAAACACTCGTTGCTAGTTGCAACTCACAATCGTTCTGTTATAGTGATTTTATGTGATTGCGCGTCATAATCCATAGTTTTGTGGCACTCGTAGGAGGCGGAACGGGGAGGGCACCGCACCGGGGCACCGTGCCCCCCTTTGATTTTGGCATTTCAACATTAGCCCTATGGGCGTTGCATGGAAAGAATGGGACCAAAAGTCGGCAGTGCCCCCTCCCCCCTTAATTGAAGGTGTTCCGCCGCTACTAGTGGCACTTATTCACATAGAAACCCTTTAAAACATGATTTCGAATGTTGTGCATGGTGGGATCCACTTAGACCATAGATCTATGTTCTTGGTTTATCGTCAGATCGTATTAGATCATATATTTAAGATAAGTTTGTCATGCCGAATCTGATGGGATCATATATCCTAGCCTGTCGTTTGCTTCGAGATTCTCTGGGACGGGAAAACGGGGACCGCTATGTTGGGCCGTTTTATTGTGAATAAAACAGCCGAGATCGAGACCCCGCAGCGGCGCACCAGCTGGCGGCCGTCTTGGACCCAGGTCTCCTCGTATATAGCGTGCATGGAAAACGACATTCGGGCATGACGGCTCCTCTTACAGCTTCCAAGGCTTCCGAGGCACTGCAAGGCGCATGCACGGGCCATCGGCACAGATGGTCACCAATTTGTAGAAAGTAGATCTAGCTTATCCTATCAGAACGCTAACTTCTACTATGCCAGAATATGTCAGCCATTTGTTTTGCTAGCTTCCCCACCCTCCTGTCCCACATTGTTTTATTATAGGCAGGACTTCGTCTTTAAATGGGGTGTCCCCGTCGACGATGACTTTAAACTAAACTAAGTTAAACGAGCATAAAATCTGTCAGCGCGGCGGCGAAGAGCCATTGCCCCAATATCGGGCGGCGGCGCGGTCGGGTGGGAGTGGAGTGGGATAGGCGCAGAGGGGGCGGTACAACGTGCGAGTTGCGATTTACGCGCGGGAGAGCTCCAGCACGACGTATACGCCAGGATCAAGGATCAACTTCGAGCAAACGAGTAGGTAATATCTGATCAATAACTATTAATAGTTACATGGAGATCCCTTCCTATCAGATACGGTCCAGGTGCCAATGTCTGCGGCGGGCTGGGGCCATACCATGGCGTCCACAGCGGAGCGTCTGCCCGGCCACGGCTCGGAGCGCTACCCGACGCCTCCGGCCGCTGCCCACTTACCGAGCGCGTCGATGCCGTGCGTGAGCGCGTTCTTGGCGAACGGTGACATATAGGAGCCGTCGAAGGCGAGCCGGCGCGCCATCAGAGCGATGGCGTTGGCGGCGGCGCGCAGCCGCTCGCGGTCGGCGCAGCCGTGCAGGCCGCTCAGCTCCCTGACCAGCACGGCGTCCGGCACGTTGTCGAACACGCCGTCCGTGCCCAGCATGATGACGTCGCCGTCCTGCACGGGCATCTCTGAGGTGCGCGCTGCCTCCGGCCGGTCGGACAGCACCTGGTGGAGCGGAGCGGCGGCGACGGCTCAGTCACTGCAGCCGACCCCGAGCCCGGCATTACGGCACAACACACGCAGCCCGGCAGTCCCAGCGGAACGCTCCACCCATAGCTACACGTAAAAGGCCATTCGCTGGAAACGGCAGACGTCTGACTGAGCGTCCGAGGGCGCTACAGTTACCCGCCCGAGTGTGGCTGTCACCCGACTTTACCTGCGGCTGCCGCGGACTGTCACCTGTCCGTCCTGTGACTTTACCTGCCGCGGACTGTCACCTGTCCGTCCTGTGACTTTACCTGCCGCGGACTGTCACCTGTCCGGCTGTGACTTTACCTGCCGACTGTCGCCTGTCCGTCCTGTCCAGCTGTGTGACTGTTACCTGTCCGCCCTGTCCGGCTGTGACTTTACCTGCCGACTGTCGCCTGTCCGTCCTGTCCAGCTGTGTGACTGTTACCTGTCCGGCTGTGTGACTGTTACCTGTCCGCCCTGTCCGGCTGTGACTTTACCTGCCGACTGTCGCCTGTCCGTCCTGTCCAGCTGTGTGACTGTTACCTGTCCGGCTGTGTGACTGTTACCTGTCCGGCTGTGTGACTGTTACCTGTCCGCCCTGTCCGGCTGTGACTTTACCTGCCGACTGTCGCCTGTCCGTCCTGTCCAGCTGTGTGACTGTTACCTGTCCGGCTGTGTGACTGTTACCTGTCCGGCTGTGTGACTGTTACCTGTCCGCCCTGTCCGGCTGTGACTTTACCTGCCGAATGTCGCCTGTCCGTCCTGTCCAGCTGTGTGACTGTTACCTGTCCGGCTGTGTGACTGTTACCTGTCCGCCCTGTCCGGCTGTGTAACTGTTACCTGTCCGGCTGTGTGACTATCGCACAGTTACCTGTCCGTCCTGTCCGGGCGGCGCGTTGGACAGCTGGTAGGGAGTGTTGAAGTAGTGCTGCTGCTCCTCGGAGCGCAGTAGCACGCGTCCGTCTCGCACCAGCAGAAAGCCCGAGTCGCCGATGTTGGCCGCGTGCAGGCAGCCCGTCTCTCGGCTCAGCACCACCAGACAGGCGGTGCTGCTGCCCACAATCGGCTCCTTGCTCTCCATCAGCTCACTGTAGGCGCGCGCCAGCAGCTGGGCCGGCAGGTGCGGCCGAAACGCGCCGGCCGTCACCACCCGCTCGCAGGCGCGCATCAGGGCGTCGCTGAACGTCCCCGGGTCGACGCCGTACTGGCGCCAGCCGCCCACGCCGTCCGCCACGCCTGCACCAGGAGGGCGGGGTCAGCGCGCGTGTGAGGGGCCCACACCGCGCGCACCACGACAGGGCCAGCGCGGTGGGGGGGGGGGGGACTTAACAGGGGACGTTACGATGGAGGTTCTATAGTCTGCTTATCTAACGCTAGCGGTCCGCTTTAACCCGCGCCGGGCCGGGGGGGGGGGGGTGTTCAGACCCCCCCCCCCCTTCTAACTCGGCTCCTGGACCACGTAACGACAAGCGGTAAGCGGCAATCGAAAGAACGTCCTTCGGATGCAGTGAATACCCTCACCCTCGCCACAGCTCGAGTTGGGGTGGGGCTGTGTGGGAGGAGGGGTGCACGGCATCAAAACTACAGGTCGCCTGGGCCCTTATCTTGAGACCAATAGTACAGCATTTCTGTCACCACCATTTTATTTTGCTCCAGTTCCACTAGACTTGTCCAATGAACCATAGTTACTAAACTCGAACATTTGACATCCAATCAAGGTCATGGCCTTTAGTGCCCTAGTCATGACCTAACTGGAAAAGACCATGCTGCTAATGAATCAATCTGTATAGCTGAGCTTGACACATTCAAGGTGTTAGCACTCTATCATATCTCCATTAAATTATTGTTTGGTATTTCAAAGCAGGAGCCATTCGTATAACTACTACCCCATTCCCCAATGCTTTAAGATGATGTCTAAGCTGACCTGTCTCAAAGTCACACATATAATATACCAAATCAGATAGGCATATAAATTGCAGGCAATGATATCCTCATGCAATACACAAAGGTACCTACTAATTTCTAGAAGATAAGCTTTAGTAGTGACAAGATTGTCACAAAATTAGGCATATGCTTATAAAATATGTATGTAAAAATTGTAAAAAGCAGCCACATGGTCACTAAGCTTGAGCTTGATCCACTGACTTGAACTTGGGTGGCCTGGTATCAAAATTTACCAAATAATGAAATGTTGATGCAGTGTGATAAATATACCAAGTTTCATTGCACTGTGCTGAAAGTGCCACAGTTTTCTTTACACATGTGAAATATAGTGTGACCAGACATTCCCAACAAAGACAGGGGTCAAGACTTTGGCCAGATTACAAAGTATGGCCATCTTGACAGGGCTGCATGTGTGCGGAATTGGGCAACTGACAAAGAGGAAACGGGCTGTCTGATGCCAATGCATTGTCACAGTCACACAGAACTGTCCAACTGGGGCAACATTGGCCAGGATTACAAGAGATCAGAAACATTGTTCAAACAGTCAAACAGTCAAAGTTCAGAGGGGTATTCCTATGCATTAGCCTCTCTGAATCAAAATGCTGCAATTTTGAAATTCAATATTTCCGATTTAAGGCATTTCTCGATGTTGTGAGTGCCGAAACCGGTAATTGTGAGCCAGGGACCCCATTTTGGCTATCTCAACTCAAATCTAATGTTAAGGTGGGAGGGTCCCTTTAATCTAACAACTGATGGCAAAACAAAATGAGGAATGTGAGTGCTCATAAATTGAAATGCTCTTACATGCTTTATCTTAATGCTAATCATTGAAATAAATGGGCAATCAAATGAACCTTACCAAGCACATCTGCACTGCTGTGGTATGACACAAAACATGAGTCATCTCCAAACTGAAATGGATTCAATCTTCGCATGCTTATGTTCTTGGGTATTCCTGAAATCGCCGACACAAATCTTGGTTTCTGAAATAAGCTCGTGTCTCTGGATTCACTTGAAGAACACTGCTCAGATGATTTTGAGTCACTATCTCCTGAATTACCACTCTGGCCACTGTCATTTCGTGAAGGCAAACCCGACGCTGTTTGAGATGCATTTCTATTGTAAAGTCCGTTGAGAAATGCCCTTGACAGTAGTCTGGTGCATGCTACAGCAGTTTGCATCTTCCGTAAGATAGATCAATTGAAAAGGGGTTTATCACATGGTAAGTGATTGGATCACAGCCTATCCAAGTATCAGCCCACACCACACGCAACACACCACAACACGGGGGTTGACACGGGGGTAGAGATTTGCGCAATTATTAGATCAAGGCTGCTGTTTAAAATGCTCCTAAATTTACTGCACCCATCTTAATTTGATGACATAATGATGCTCCATGTCTCAGGCGTCTCAGGCATTTCAGATCTCTTCAAACGTCATTTAGATAAAGATGACAGCATTTTTGATATAGGATGTACTTTCAAAAACACTTTGAAAATGCGAATCAAAGCTCCTGAGGCCCGGATCCAAAAGACTAAAGGGCCTATTTTGCAAGTTGCAGCGTAGGATTGAATCATCACTGATTTATGAGATCTCTTGTGCCATATGATTTTTTTTTCAATTTAAAGAGGTAGTGGCCAGTAGGGTAAGGTAGTTTTGTTGGGTGGGGTAGAAATGCATTTCAGTTCCAGTGAACATTGCAACTTCGCTTTTTTGCCTGCAAATTTGATGCATGAGCCAAATGTTAGATGCGGAGCTTTGTGTGTCCCATGTGTCATGACGTCTAAGCGACCGACAAATGCCTTTCAATAAGCATTTTCAATAAAAAAAATGTTCTGTGCGCAATGTAAAAACTCTACTATGTACTGTGTACTAAATTAATTTACCGCTATCTGTACACATATATTTTGGCTGTCAACAGTCTCAAGCCAAGCGTTGTAATCACGACGCGCTTGTTACCTTTCCAGCGCTTTTGCGACAGCATGAGTTAGATACACTGAACGATAATATTCTATTATACTGATACGCTCTCCAGTTCCTTGTTGCATATTTAGCAAAATATTTAGCTGTAAATTGTTATAGAAGAGATTGCTTAGCTATTTGTCGAGTTTTTGAAACGTTAGGTACCTACCTATACCTATAAGTAACGCCAAAGTCAACTTCAGCTTTGCTTTTAGCACTGCTTTATTGTTATAGGTCACTTGCAATTATCTAGAAAATGTCATACTGCCGTGAAGATGGTGAGTGCTATTGCTGGTTCCAGCTCCCGATAATTCTGCTCATCAATACTGTGCTGGTCTTGTAGTCCATTTAGTTATTATTTACTTTAGACCGGTTACTAGTTTACTTTGGTGCAATCCCTAAGTAAGAAGCTGAAGCAAATCATATGATATCTTCTGACCTGATAATATCTAATTATTATTCATGGCACAAACAAGTTAAAAAGCACCAATACAATATGGAAAGTAACATCAATTTGCTTGTGGCGAAACACTGCAGTGCAGAAGGCAATGCTTTAGGAGTGATTACAGGCAATGGCTGGTCAAATATTTTTTATAAACTTAGTCCCAACCTTTTGATTTGGAGGATTCTCAAGGACAGAGCCCCTGGCCCCTGCTAAGCGAAGCTCGTTGCGTTGACCCTGCCTTCTACCCTCCTATCGAGCAATTCTGGTTCTATGGCAGAATTTAGAGTATGCATTTTAACGCTTAACATGCGCGCACAGCAGCAGCAGCGCACGTCCGGTCCCCTCAGACTTCACCTGGCTACGGCCTGCCACCAACCGCAACCATACCTGTCAGGGGGCCCATAAACATCAAGGACCTGTCAGGCTTCAAACCCGGACTGTTGTAACTGGGAATGCATGCTCTTGCCACGTGGAGTCCAACACTCTACCGACTGAGCTACAGGACCGTCAAAGTGAAGGCCTGAAGCCTGATGCACAACCACTTAACCTGTAAATATTTGACTTACCATTGCTTGCAATCTATTATGTGAGTAATTTCTCCCTTATCCACAGGTAGGCAAAAATCAGTAGGTAGGTCAGGCTAGGTAAGGTTTGGTTAAGTTTCCTTTTTAACATTTTGGTGGCATGTAAGTATGATATCTGGATTAAGGATGTCAAAAAAGGGAAGAATGTGTAAAATTTACCTTTGAAAAGTGAATCTGTCCTAAAGTAAATAATAGCAATCCATTTTACAATTTGATAAAAGACTGTATGTTACAGCCACAACTGCTGCTTGCTGTAAATCATTTATGTATTCTCTATATTTGGGATGTGGTTGAAAAATGTTAATTGTTTACAGTGCTTTTATGACATTTTATGTCATTATTTAATTTTAGTTCCTAAATGTCCATTCACAGGAAAAGACAAAGTCATTTTTCTCACCAAAGAAGATTATGAGAAGCCAAGTACAATTGAACTGGAGGAGGAGGAGCAGCCAGCAGGTAGGGGTCAAAGCAGGGTTTGGACCAGTGAGTGTCTGTGCCAATAAACCTCTTTTGTTTTTGTGTAGATAAATAAGTTTATAAGAATATATTTCAAACAGGCTTTTTCAAACAAGTTTTAACCCATGCCTTGGTGGGGGCTATTTTTTACCCGCCCTCCAGACTTTTCGTTATATCTCTAGAGTCTCTACGCCGATCGTCACCAAACATTCAGTACCCTCCTGGGCATCAATTTTACACATTGTGACCATTTTTTTCCAAAATGCTATGATAGGTTGGCCGTAAATGACATCAGAGTGACGTCATATACTGCCGTTTTCGACAAAAAAAAAGTTTCTGTGACCTACCTGTAAAAAATACTTGTGACCGGCAAAACATTTTATTTTTGACCTGACCTGTGACGTCATCGGTGACCCTGAGTTCAATTAAATTGTACCTCTTTCGACAGATTTGACAGGGCTTTCGAACGCCGTTTGAATTTTGGGGATCCGTCCAGCAGTTTGGGAGATATGAGGGGGCAAAAATAGCCCCCCCCCCCCACCAGGTCGATATGAACAGACTCTACCAGGGCGCCGGTTAAGATGTTATTGCTAAGCAGTTGGTGGGTGGGCTCACGTAACTGATTATTTTTGTTTCTTTATCATAATACTGAGGTTTTATGCATCTACATAGTTTCAGAATGTTTTATTCATTTAGCTGTTTTTTTCAGATACTTTGCATATTGATTTGATCTTGCTTACTCACTTACAATTTACAAATAGTTCAGTTATTATCAAGGCGATTGTGTAATGTTCTCAATGTGGAAAATATGAAATACATTTTGTCCCAAAAGTCTTGGCAACACCCATTTCCTGACGATTCTAGAATAACGATTTAGGAAAGGTCTTTGCTGCCTTTATATTCTCAACCTGTCTACTTTCATCATTCATGCCAAGTTTGAGGGCGATCGACCCAGTGACTGCCGAGTTATTGTAACTATTGCAAATTTGACACCTCTTCGGTTTGCACGTGGCACGTGCAGTACTGGTCACCCATATGTGTCGGATGTAGCGGAGGTCTTGCTTTAAGGGATGTCGTACGCAGAAGATCACTTGTTGATCGGTCGAGTGGTTGCCGAGATATACCTAAGCCTCTCAAAAGCGTCACTGGGCCGGGTCGGGCCGCTCATACTGAGATCATTTTCCGTCATTGCCCCAAAATTTGTCAATTTGGGTGGGAAATGACATCGAAGTGAAAATCAATTTCCACTCTCATCTCCAATTTTCAAGACCAATTTTCCACTCCCAATGCAACCAAGGAAGAGCAGGTAGGTAGCGTGGATGCTTTTTTGCATCCTCTGTCTGCCACACTAGTAGATAAATTGATGTTTTTTCCTTTTCCATTGTTTTTGGGCGTTACCTGACCAACAGTTTTTCACTTTGATCCCCCTTTTGGTCAGCGATATCCTCTCAGACACCCAAGCAAAAATATAATTTTGGGACAACGGAAAATTTCCGTTCAACCACAGATCAACTGGCTCGCTCGCCTGCTGATGAGCGTTTTGCAAAAAGACAACAAACTGAGTTGTCGACGAGTTTCAGCATTTTGTCTTAGCCTATAAAGGCTCTTTGTAATAACGTCAAGCCAGACCGGATGAATAGTCGGTTTCGGGGGAAATTTGCACATTACGTGCCACGCATTGAAACCACCAAATTGCCTGTCAAGCTTATGGTATGGCGTGAAATGAACGCTTTGGGTGTTGTTGCTGGGCTCTACCCGGGGTTCTACGTTGCATCCCTAGCGCAGGTGAACCACTTCGGGTACTACGCGTCAGAAAACGTGTGAGGCTCCTTTATGGCAGCGGTCGAAGGCAGCGGACCAGTATTGCAACCTGGTTGCAAGCATATTGTTACGCACCGAGGAATGTGCCAGGCTACGCAGTGATTATATCGGCTGTTGATTAAAACAATTTCGACAAAAGAGTGTTAAAAACCAGGGGATTGTGATGTTACAAAACTTTTGGGACACCCTATAAGTAAATTGAATTTAAATAGTCAGATTCTTACAGTCTATTACCTTTGGTGGCATTGAATCATGCCTGCGCAGGCGTCTCTGCGCTGTGTACCACAGCTGATGGCTCTGTGTTGCAGGACTGATCGGGCCGGATGGGGAGATCAACTGGAACTGCCCCTGCCTGGGCGGAATGGCCACCGGACCGTGCGGAGTCGAGTTCAGAGAGGCCTTCTCCTGCTTTCACTATAGGTGGGCTTAGTATGTGTCAGCATTCATCTTCTTATTTTCAACATTGCTGTCCATTGGCATGCTATTATGGTGATGCGGCTCTATCTCCACAGCAAAGCGGAGCCACGGGGGAGCGATTGTTACGAGCCGTTTCAGAAGATGCACGAGTGCATGCAGAGCTACCCGCAGCTGTACGGCACATCTGAGGAGGACGACAAAGAGTTCCAGGAGAAGATGCAGAAGGCGGAGGCCGAGTCAGCGGCGGCGGCGGCCGAGTCGGCGGCGGTGGAGGCCGGCGCCGCTCAGGCAGAGACGCCGCCGTCCGGCGCGGCTGAAGCGTCCTAGCACCGGTGTGTGTGTGTGAGAGGGCGATGAGTGTGTGTGCGTGCCGAGCGGGACCGCCCAGTGAGCTGGCGCTGTGCCGAGCGGGACCGCCCAGTGAGCTGGCGCTGTGCCGAGCGGGACCGCCCAGTGAGCTGGCGCTGTGCCGAGCGGGACCGCCCAGTGAGCTGGCGCTGTAGTGGAATTGAGGGCCGCTCGCGTTGATCATGTGCAGAGGCGGCGCCTGGTCGGCTGGAAGTGCGACGGGTGGAACGGCTGGTAGCGGCGTGTGCGGCGGCCGGTGGCCGGCAGCCTCCCCGGACCACTGTCAGAACCACGGGCCGGTCGGGGAGCTGGCGGCGTTCAGTCGCCGGCCTGCTGTCCACGCTGGTGCCGCGGGCGCGCCGCTGCCAGAGCGGCTCAGAGCTCAGGTACCTTCATAACTGGCACCGTTCACTCGTGTTTTCTGTCTACCGAACTGCACGTAATGTGTTACCCAGTATTTGCGTCGGTTGCAATGTGCATTATGCGGTCTGCCAATGTCCGAACGTCGAATACAGCTGCACAATACAGTGTTATTTGCAGTGGCGTATCCAAGGGGGGACCCTGGGGGTCCTAGGATCCCCCCTGGAGCCTTGAAAAAAAAGTTTTTTTTATAACACGGAAAAAATTGAAATGACTTCAAGGGCCCTTTTGACCACTTCCCATTTTATTCGCTAAAAGAAAAAGTATTGTAGAACTCTTTTGAGGATTATTAGAGGACACATTTAGGCCAATGAGGGACCTTGTGAAGGACACAGAGGGCCCTCTCAGGCACACAGAGAGCCCTCTCGGGCACACAGAGGGCCCTCTCAGGTACACAGAGAGCCCTCTCGGGCACGCAGAGGGCCCTCTCAGGCTCACAGAGGGTCCTCTCAGGCACACAGAGGGCCCTCTCAGGCAAACAGAGGGCCCTCTCAGGTACATAGAGGTCCCTCTCAGGCACACAGAGGGCCCTCTCAGGCTCACAGAGGGCCCTCTCAGGCACACAGAGGGTCCTCTCAGGCACACAGAGGGCCCTCTAGGGCTCACAGAGGGCCCTCTCAGGCACACATAGGGCCTTCTCAGGCACACAGAGGGCCCTTTCAGGCAAACAGAGGGCCCTCTCAGGTACACAGAGGGCCCTTTCAGGCACATAGAGGGCGCTCTCAGGTACACAGAGGGTCCTCTTAGACACACAGAGGGCCCTCTCAGGCAAACAGAGGGCCCTCTCAGGTACACAGAGGGCCCTTTCAGGCACACAGAGGGCCCTCTCAGGCTCACAGAGGGCCCTCTCAGGCTCACAGAGGGCCCTCTCAGGCACACATAGGGCCCTCTCAGGCACACATAGGGCCCTTTCAGGTACACAGAGGGCCCTTTCAGGCACACAGAGGGCCCTCTCAGGCTCACAGAGGGCTCTCTCAGGCACACATAGGGCCTCTCAGGCACACATAGGGCCTCTCAGGCACACAGAGGGCCCTCTCAGGCTCACAGAGGGCCCTCTCAGGCACACATAGGGCTCTCTCAGGCACACAGAGGGTTCTCTGAGACACACAGAGGGTCCTTTCAGGCAAACAGAGGGCCGTCTCAGGTACACAGAGGGCCCTCTCAGGCACACATAGGGCCCTCTCAGGCACACAGAGGGCCCTCGCAGGCAAACAGAGGGCCCTCTCAGGTACACAGAGGGCCCTTTCAGGCACACAGAGGACCCTTTCAGGCGAACAGAGGGCCGTCTCAGGTACACAGAGGACCCTTTCAGGCACACAGAGGGCCCTCTCAAACACACAGAGGGCCCTCTCAGGTACTCAGGGGGGCCTCCCAAGCACACAAAGGGCCCTCTAAGACCAGCAGAGGGCCCCTTAAGACGAACAGAAGGTCCTCTGAGGTACGAGGGTCAATGTCAGGCCACAAGGTACCCTATGAGACCACCAGACGGCCCTCTTAGATCAAAGATGGTCCCTGGAGGTCACCAAAGGGCCCTCTGAGGTGAACAAAGGGCCCTCTGAGATCGAAGAGATCAAAGAGATCAAAGAGGGCCCTCTAAGGCGAATGGAGGGCCTTCAAAGGTCACAAAGTGCCCTCTGAGGCCACTGGAGGGCCTTCTGAGGTGATATGAGGCTATGTCAGACCACCATGAGCCCTATGAGGTTTAGGCCCTCTGAGATCAAAGAGGGTCCTTGGAAGTCATCGGAGTACCCCTTAAGGCTCATTGAGGCGATCAAAGGCCAGAGGGCCCCCTTAGACACCACAAAGAAGTAAAAAAGATCCCTCTGAGGTCAAAGACAGCTCTTTGAGATGTAATAGGGCCATTTGAGGCCTCCGAGGGCCCTCTGATGCCTCAGAGAGGCGCCCTCTGATGCCAAAATAGGGTCCTCTGAAGTCTAAATCCACCAGAGGGCCCTCTGAGGCGAACAGAGGGCCCTAACATCCACCTCAAAGAGGGCCCTCTGAAAATCAACTGGCCCTCGGAGTCAGTGTCCCAAAATCGTATTTTGGCTTGGGTGTCAGAGGGGGAAAAGGTCACCCAAAAGAGGGATAAGAGTGGACAATTGTCAGTCACAGGGCAGTCGGAGCCCTCTGAGAAGGCCACTTGAGCCTTACACCAGAGGGCCCTCTGAGGTGATATGAAGGCTATGTCAGGCCACTATGGGCTCTATGAGGTCATCAGGCACTCTGAGGAAAAAGCTCTGAGGCGAACAGAGGGCCCTTGGATAATCAGAGGACTTTTTAGGTCAACTAGGGGCCTTATGAGGCCAGCAAAGGACCCTTTGGGACACAAACAGGGCCTCTCAGGCACCCGGAGGGACCTCTTTTCTAAGGCAAACAGGGGGTCACCTTAGATGATATGAGGGCTATTTTAGGCCACTAGGGGCCTCATGTACCGGGCTTCTCACAAAAGTCGGACCAATTTCTTTTGCGGATAATGGACTGGAAACAATATTTAAACGAAACAAATGCACGTGAAAAGAAAGCAAATTTTTAGGAGATTTATATGATACCATATTCGTTGAGTTTAAAAAAATGAGACAGTGGTCTTAAGACGCCAAAGCAAACTCAAAGAAATTCTACTTTCAGAATAAGTCGGTCGTTTCAACACAACCGAACTTCCGCAATCCTTTTTTTGTGCAAAGTAAGCACCATCTTGAAATGCTATTTTCCACGTTGTTGAAAGTTTCTGGCTCGAGGAAATGTTAACTGCGGGTTCAAAGAACATAGCGGAGGCCGCAAACCTAATCAAAGAAGCCCGGCGAACGTCCCTCGTGTCAGAGATGCGCTATACCCAGGCTGTCAATGGTCAGCGATACCGGATGACCCTGACAAATTTTTGGAGTGTCCTGCAGACCACAATGGGCGGCGATCCTGAACCACTCAAATGCCAATAGTTCCAGCTAGACGTTTCCACGGCCAATACCGCTAAACCGGGAGTGGCTGCAGGAGCGCTCCGGGCAGCGTGTGATCTCGAGATTTGAGACACATCCGTGACCAGCGAGCTCCCCGGACTTGACCCCACCGGACTTTTTCCTGTAGGACCACCTCAAGTCCCAGGTGTACCGAAACCACCCAAGAAGTCCCAAAGACCTGAAGGGTGCAATGAGGTCGGCGGTGCGCAGCCTGCCACCTTTCGCGTGCCGTGCTGCAACAGAGGCCGCGCTGCGCGGGGCTTAACTGTGCGTCGAGCGAAACGGGGGTCATCTCGAACAGGTCCGGCAAGGCTCAGTAAGGCGATCGCCGACGGTCGAAATCCCCCGAAACAAAATATTTTTAACCAGGCTTTCAGATGATACCTGATTTATTTTTGTAACACTGACACACCCTAAAATATATTAATTTTAAATTCGTCCGACTTTTGTGAGAAGCCCGGTATTAGACCAACATACGGTCATTTGAAGTAAAAGAGAACCTTTTGAGGTAAAAAGGGCCCCTGGAGAGAAAATAGAGGGACCTTTCAGGTACCCAGAAGGTCCATGGAGGCCACTAGAGGACCCTTTGAGGCCAGTGATGGTCTTCAGAGGCCATCAGAGGGTCCCTCTGAGGGTAACAGAGGGTCCTTAAGACGACCAGAGGCCCTCCGTGAAAATGCGGGCGTCACAAGGCCCGGTTTGCATCAAAGGTCAGGGCTATGCCCAGTTTTGGCTCTCTGTTGCCTGCCGACGTGTTCCGAGCTGTCGCAAAAAAACGATGTGGTGGCACCCACGCCCCCCCCCCCCCGCCCGGCCAGGGTCCTTCTAACCAGGGATGCGGAGGCGTGGAAATTTCAGACGGCTCCGGCTCCGGCTCCGGAGAAAAAAATCGGCTTCGGCTCCGGCTCCGGCTCCGGCTTCGACTCCAGTACTCAGTTCATCCTTTATACAAATAAATACGGGTGGAAAAGAAAAGATGAAGGATTGGTTCACGTTGTTTCTGTATTTGCATAACAAGGCTATTTTGAATACCACATATTTTACTGCCTTGCAGGCACTGTGAAACCGAACTAGGTCAATAATGTTTTCCTCTTCAAAAAAAAAAAAAAAAAAACAGCCGGAGTCGCCGCCTTTTTTACCGCTCCGGCTCCGGGCTATATTGTTTCACGGCTCCGGCTCCGGCTCCGGCTCCAGGCAAAATATGCCGGCACCGGCGGCTCCTCCGGCTCCAGCTCCGGCTCCGCACCCCTGCATCTATAACTCGGCTTCTGAGCCACGTACCAACACGCCTAAGGCAGTGTTCGAAGGGACGCAAGCAAACAATAATGACGAAATTACGCCTGTCACTTTTTAGATCAGTTCAAAATTCAGTTCACATAGGTCATCCAAGGTTAAATTTCGCCAATTGTCAGGTCCAATTTCGACAATTTTCAACAAACCACCGCATGATTCGGAAATGAATAGAGCTACAGTACCGGGGAAAAGCGTAGTTAATAGCTCTTTTAACACCCCTTTCGCCGTTTCCATCCTCAGGACATTCAAATCCTTCTCCTCCATGCCGCAACCTCTGATCCGGGCTGGACCTGGACGGGCAACTTTATTCCATGCGGGCGGCTCCCATTGGAGCTCACTGCAGCTCCTAAGGAAGCACACTCATAACCGGGTGCAGTGAGCACTTGGGGGGCTGGTCGGCCTGTCCTGTTGGACAGGCTCAGCCCCAGTGAGTCACCAAGGTGCCCGCCCAGACCAATGTCTCCCTCAATTCCTATCATCCCTCCGGCCCTGAAATGGCCTGTCAGACCGAAAGCCGAAAGGGCCTGGGTCCAACCCAACAAAACAAACAAAGCTCTTTTAACGCACTTTCTGTAAACTGTGCTCAGATTTGACCTAAGCCTGTTAAAGGAAGACTGCCACCTTCAAAAAGTTTTCTCAGATCGGCCTATGATTTATTCCTTGGACAAAACAAAATTTTAGAATTCACCTGACAAAGTATCATCACGTGAATCGCGAAAAAAATTGTCGATTATCATACAATTATCAATCGGTTAATGTCTAGCGACAATGTTTACACATCACTAGACTTCAAGGTCATAAGATTATTACATTTTATTTGAAAAAGTAAGGTATTTTATGATTTACTAATATATGATTTCA